GGAGAACTAAGTGTTTTTTGTTTTTTTTTTTTTTTTCCATTTCACCCCATGACTAAAGCATAGCATATATTATCTAAAAGGGTATTGGGCGAATTGAAAGGAATATAACCTTATGTTGCCTCTTTGCAAGTATGATGATGGGCTGTTTCCCAAGTGGTTAGAATTACTTATTCTTTTTTGTTTGTTTTTACTTTTACTGCCAGAGGATTTCTAAGCACTGGGGGTAGGGAGCGGGAGGGTAGGAGGGGGGCACATGATTTTCTGAGTTTTGAATTGTTTTAACTGGCTTGAGAATATTTTCATCAAGAAAATGTAGGACAATATTTTTATTGACCTTGTTCGTCATACTACATCTTTGATCTAACTTGTTGTGCAATGTGTTTATTCTCTGAAGATGAGGAAATCTATCAGGCGGGGCATGACTGGCTTTTTATAGCCACGTTATTATTTCTAGATCACACGACTTCCTATTCAGAGCAATTTAAGCTAGTTAGATGTTTTGTGCTCCTCTGGTGAATAGTAATCCCTGCCCCCCTGGTATTTACATCAGGATGTGTAGTGGGAAAAAAAAAATCAGTCCTAACAGACAGAAGTAAATAACCATAACTGTGACTGATCATGTTAATTCTGTAGTCATCAGTAATACTTTCTGGCACACGCATTCCTCCACAGGAAGAAAGGAGAGCAACATATTTAACCCCCTCAGATACCATGGTTTACTAGGGCACTGATTTCTTAATTGGTAATGTTGCGCTTTCATTTGAGTTGGGGTCTCGAGGCCATCACAGTCTGCTCTGTTAACACTATCATCAGGAACTCAGCAATGAACCTTTGTTCATTTCTGGACAATTTTTGTTCTACAAGGGGGCACCTCGTAAAGGCAACTCTACACCCTAAAGCCCTCATCCTTGTCTTATTCTCTGTCTTCTCGCTTTCTTTTGTGCTCCTTGTGTTAATTTTCTGTTGTGGCTGCAACAGAGGACCTTGAACTTTATGGCTGAAAACAAAGCAGATTTATCATCTTACTGTTGGGGATGCGAGAAGTGTGATGTGAGTCTCACTGGATGAAAATCAACGTGCTGGCAGGGCTGCATTGGTTTCTGGAGGACGTGAGGGAGAATTCTGTTTTCTTGCCTTCTACGGTTTGCAGAGGCTGCTGGCGTTCCTCAGCTCATGCCCGCCTTCCTCCATCTTCAAAGCCAGCAATGGCTTGAGTCCTTTTAACAGCACCTGCACTATCTATCTTTTTTACTTTTCTTTTTCACTTTTCAGGACCTTTGTGATTACATTGGGTCCCCCTAGATAACCCAGGACAGTCTCCCTGACTTAGTTGATTAGCAACCTTACTCTCATCTGCTCCCTTAATTCTTAATACATCATGTAATGTAATATATTCACAAGTTCCAGGATTAGAACGGGACCATTCTTCTGCCTGCCTTATTCCTCTTCAATTATTCCTTACCTTTCAGACTGAAATGGCGGATGCACAATATTCTCTGCCTTGAGTAGGTGACCTTCCCATTTGAGCCACCTCCTGAATACCAGTAGGAACCAGCATATTCATGGCTTTGCTCTCACCCCATGGATAAGATCAGCATTAGGCCATGAAGGTAGTAGCCAGAAACAACCTTATTAGTAATATGTTGGAAGAGACAATAGCAGTTCTATGGTTTCCATCTCTCTTCAATATGGCACCAAAGAAGGATGCCATGACCCCCAAAACCCAAGTCTTATTGACCTATTGACTTGTGCTCCAAGCTTTGCACCAAAGCTCAAGCCAATATGCTTGGAACACTTCCTGGATCAATTACCCTCCTACAAGGTTGGGTTCTGTTAACTAAGATGACACCTTATGTTTTCTTTATCAACTTGGATAACTCATGGGTATTTGTGTTTTGTAAGTCTCAGAGTTGTTTTGTTATTCTTCCTGATGGGAAAATAATGAGATAGATTTCTTGCAATTCAATTATGGAGCTCATTCTGGGAGATACACTAGTAATTCTTGGATTGCACTAGGATGACCATATAAATAATTACATCATGCTACCACTCCCAGACTGAGGGTTATATCTGAAATTGGCTGCCTTCACTAGGTTTGAAAGAGACCATTTAATGGCTGTTAGACAGCTATGTCCTGAATTGTTGTTGTTATATAGGTTCTCTATATGTAATGTCTTCTGCTGATGACTTGGCCTACTTATTGGAAACTGACAGTCTGGCTGATTGGTAGATTTGTGTGTAAGCCTAAAGGGTAGCACTCTCTCCCTGTGAGCTTAAGCCCTTACATGGATTATCCCCAAGGCCAAGGTTGAATCCATAAATAGGAAGCAATGGATGACTATTCCACTGACAAGAGCAGAACACCATGGGGGTCTACAAATCATCAGGTCTCAATTGCTTCCAGTGATATACTATTAGAATGAGGTTTTGTTCAAGGAACTCCAAATATAAATTTATCTGATTCATGTGTTCATTGTTTGCTCACTCTTTCTCCCTATTTCTACCTCCCACCTATCCACTCATATGCATGCAGGAGTAACAGACATCATGAATCTGAACATTATTTTAGGTGCTCTTTTCTACTGGCAATAAAATGGGGCCCGCTACTTTGCAAGAATCAAAGTTGTCTGTAATGACACCACACATACCCCTTTACCGAACAGACCTTACCACAATAACTATATTTTTCTGCCCATATTTTTCCAACAAAGAGCACCTTCACACCACTGGGTCCAACTCTGGCAAGTTCTCAGAATCTAGACAGCTTGAGAAGGCACAGAACTTCAAAAGTTCTTTCTATTTTACCTCTTTCACTTTTTTTTTTTTTTTTAAGAAAATCCAACATGGCTGTAAGGTGAAGAAAAAATTGGTTAAGCTATTTTTATTCTTGGCATATTAGACTCTTTTCCATTCTACTTCTTACATCCCACCCACACATCCCCTAAGGTTTGATATTTTCCCTCCACATCTTTGCAAATACCCTTTCCAGTAGATGCACCTTGTCTTTCTGCCCACACCTAGATGAGGTGCTTGCCCAGGTATGGAAGCTGCAAGGGTGGATCTCTTTACACCCATCATGGGCTTGTCTTTCTTGAGAATTCAGTTCATCAGTGTCTCCTCGCATCTATTGCTTTTTGTTTGTGTCGTGGGAAATGTGGTTTAATTTTGTTGGGTTATTGCTATTTCTTAGCATTGGTGTAAAGATGTTCCACATTCTTCTATATCTCAGCTGTGGATTGAACAGAACAACTATATTGTATTCAAGCAGATTCTCATCACCTCCTTGATACTCCGTAAGGTGGAACTAGATGCCATCCTTCTGCTATGGCCTTTAACCCTACAGGTCATTTCAAGTGAGAGACTATTGCGTGGTTTTCAGGGATTTCATCATAATTTTAGATTCAATTAATTTTCTTAATCTTCAATCAATATGCCTATTTTGGACAGGAGAGTCGGAAAACTTTTTTGTGTGTATTTCTTAATTTGAGGCAACATTTAATAATTTGGCTGACATTTTGTGGGGGAGTATCTGTGGTTTGGGGTTAAATCGTATTCTAGTTTTATTGCAAATATATATTTCTTCTTGTGCCTTCTCAGGCAATTCTTTGTATTTGTCCCTTTGGGTAGATTTTTCAAAGGAAATTGGGCGAATCACTTTTTCACTTCCACTTTGAACATATCAGGCTGATTTTTGTTCCGTTATCAACTGTTTACTCATTCCTTCCTGAACAACCCCACCTCTACCCCTGCAACTTAATTCTAACTTTTCCCTCTGTCCTTTAATTTTAAAAATACCATTCTTTTTTTGTCATTGTATTTGATACTTGGCAAGCCTTTTTAGGAAATATGCGTCTTCCCACTACCTTGAAAAATTAATTTCCATTGGGTTTTTACAAGGTACTTTCTTCAATATATTTTTCTCCTGTTTTTTTCTTCTTTTGGGATATCTCTTTACCAAATAATTTACTTTTGATCTTACTTTTTTTTTCTACTTCATGTATTTTTAATCATGTTTTTAAATGAGTTTAACTTTCATTGAAAATCTGGCAAGATTACAAAATTTTTCTCTGTAGCATAGATCTTATGTTCTTTACTGACTTCAGTGGGATTTTTAAGTATGTAATTTGCTTTTCATTTTTTCTTTCTTCTTGAATTTTATTGTAGTCATTAAATGGAAGATTTGAAAACTTTTCTTCTGTTTATTATAATAAAATTTTCTTTGGAAAGATCATATATTTTCTCTGCCTCTTGAGAGTAATCAATCTTTCCTTATGTTCTAGCATTTGGGGGCTCCTGATAATGACTGGATGGACCAAGTAGTCTGAGTGGATCCCTCCTTGAGCTCCTCTGGATGCTGGTAGAGTCTCTGATCTTGCCCTAAATGGTGGATTGATCCACACAATCCTTAGACAAATTTCAACAACAACATTGGCACAGTGGTTAAGAGTGAGGTCTCTAGGAGCACCTGGGTGGCTCAGTGGGTTAAGCCTCTGCCTTCGGCTCAGGTCATGATCCCAGGGTCTTGGGATCAAGCCCCGCATCGGGCTCTCTGCTTGGCGGGGAGCCTGCTTCCTCCTCTCTCTCTGCCTGCCTTTCTACCTACTTGTGATCTCTGTCTGTCAAATAAATAAATAAAATATTTAAAAAAAAAAAAGAGTGAGGTTTCTAGAACTTGGTCATCTAAGTTAAATCTCTGGTTCTGCCACCATTAGCTGTTTGGTGAGTCTCTTAGCCTCTGTGTGCCTCATATCCCTCATCTTTTAAATGGGGAGAATAGTAGGATCTATCCCAAAGATTTATTATGAGGATTCAACTAATTGATTTGTTAGTTAACTTGTGCTTTCCTTTGTATGTTTTTAGCCTTCTGGCTCCCTTTCCTACACATGGAATTGGAAACAGCTGTTATGATGTTTCTTTTTGGTTTGGTTGCACAATGCTTCCTATTTCAGACCATCACATTTACTTCCTTTACTTCTTTATTTTAAAATAAACAGGTCAGAATGATCAAGAGACACTTAAGTGTGGGTCAGCAAACATGGGCTCTCCTCTGCAAGAATTTTCTGAAGAAATGGAGGATGAAGAGAGAGACCTTGTTGGTATGGTTCAAAGTCTACATCGTCTCATATTTAGGAAAGGAAAATGTTTTTGGAGGGGGCATTGCAAATAGTTTATCTTCATTATTTAATGTTTCATATATATTCTATTGTTAACTAACAGGCTGGAAAATTTTTTCAAATTCTGGACTTTGCTATTACTTCAAATGACAGTCCTTTAAGTATATTATTTGTCTGACTAGAGGCATTCTTTAAATAATCAATATTCAGAAACTCCCTGAAAAATAAATCCATATCTTTGTATTGCAAATAATAATTCTTAACATATGAACTCCTTTGAAATTCACGAAGGTATAGGTACAAAAGTTCAGGGTCAAAGTCAAAGAAAGACACAAATTTAATCCAGAATTAATCCAGCAAGTAACCCAAAATTAAAAACAAAACAAACAAACAAACAAAAAATTCAGAAGACAAATTGTAGCCCTTCTACACATTTGTACTAAGGATACAGACAGTGTCAATTTGGAAGAAGTAATGAAATATAAACAAACAGAAGAAGAAAATGACATTTTGAACTTTTGCTTCTATTAAGACAGTGCTGTTTTCTTCTGATAAGAATGATCAGATGTACTTTGTGTAGAAAATTAAGTAAATTGAGAAAAATACATTTAAAAAGTTAAAATCACTTATAAAATGCCCGTAGTTCAAGGGTTAGTGTATTAACATTGGATCTTATGAACATTTTGCGTGTATGTGTGTGTGTTCTTTCAACAAATATATATTGAATGCTTGGATTGACAATAAATAAAGCATAAAAAATCCAGCATGGAGTAAAGATTATAAAGTATAAATATAAAAGTTGAATTCTATACTATATAGATGTGTTACTTCCAACTTTTTAACTGTTTTTAATATAAGCACCACAACTGTCAATTGATCTATCTAGATAGAGAACAACACACATACGAAAATAAGATCAGATGGTAAATAAGATATTTTATTTTTTTTATTTTTTTTTAAGATTTTATTTATTTGACAGAGAGAGATCACAAGTAGGCAGAGAGGCAGGCAGAGAGAGAGAGAGAGAGGAGGAAGCAGGCTCCCTGCCCAGCAGAGAGCCCAATGTGGGACTCGATCCCAGGACCCTGAGATCATGACCTGAGCTGAAGGCAGAGGCTTAACCCACTGAGCCACCCAGGCGCCCCGATAAATAAGATATTTTAAAGTCCCTGTGTTTAGAATCAAAAGTATGTAATAGGGTCTTTTCTTAACACCAGAATTTAAATGCATCCTGTCGCATTTCCAGTTTCAGAATGTCGTCACAATGACAAGCACTTTTTAAAATTCTCTTTATGAGCAGTGTTTTGGGACAGTCTTCTTTCACATGTACAGCATTAGCTGATAAAAATAGGACCTCGGTTCTGTTTTTGAGAGCTGGAAACCAATTTCGTGACACCTAACACTTCTCTACCCATGGACACACAGGTGTCAGCATGACTGTAAACTACTGGGTCATTCCTGAAGCAATCTAGCCTCTAACACTCACATTAAAGGATGATAAACTTAGACTCTCAATTATAATTGGAATCAGTGCTACAGCTCTCTTTTGGTGGACAATGTGTGTATTTCAAAATACGCGAATCAAAGGGCAAAAGAAAACGGAAACACTTGGAAACTGGGAGAGTGGAAAAAATGGTCCATGCTACATAACAAAACTACACGTTTGAAGTTCTTATGGATGATTTCTCTGTGGATGAGCAGCTCTTGATTGGTTTCATTTTTCTCTCATTGCTGTGTAGGAATGGTTTTTCTCGTTTCTTCTAGTATTGCTTGCATACCGACTTTCCTCCAATTTACATCAAGTTAATGACTTTCCTCAATTGCCTGCAATGAATCTGGGACGTGTAGATAATTTTAATGACTCTAATTATGTGATTGCATTTGCCCCTGAATCCAAAACAACCCAGGAGATCATGGAAAAAGTGGCTTCAGCCCCATTCATGAAAGGTATGTTCTCTAGCAGTTCTTGACGTTTTCCTGATTTGCAAAACACACACATTTATTTTGGGATTTTGTATTATCCTCATTATCATCTGTATCAAAATGAGACAGTCTGGTATTATTCAAATGTATGTTAGTGAGAAGATTTTGGAAATATTGGACATCACTAGAGCATAGTTTTTAATTCTCTTCAAATACATAAAGAACTGAGAGGGAAATTAGACAGTAAAACCAAGAAGTCAGCAGTAGCTACCAACAAAACTAGATAGTAGAGTATTTCTCCAAACCCCACAATATAAGTGGGGGGGAGGAATCACCAACAGCCACCAAGCCTGCATGGCATCTCTCTGGGGTGTTGGGAGAGCAAAGGGGAGCAGTGGGGTATCTGATGGAGCTGGAAAGAGCCCCCTGAGAGGAAACCAGTACCCCTTGCAAAGCAGAGTAGGTCAATCTGTGAACAACTGAAATAATTTTCAGCAACTATCCTGGTAGGGTAGTATTAGGCAGTTATCCCAAAGCTGTTACATATGGAAAGTGGGATATACCAAATAGGTAATTATGAAGTAGTCTCTTTCTCCCACCCCTCTGTCTTGGAAACCCAGGAATCTCAGTCCTGGAGGAAAGGAGATGCAGAGGTCTGGGACAGGAAATTTACAGGGTAAAGAATATTGTCAGGGCACTAGGGTGGTGCAGTGGGTTGAGTGTCAGACTCTTGGTTTTGGTTCAGATCATGATCTCAGGATCTGAATCATGAGATTGAGCCCACATCAGGCTCTGTGCTCACCACAGAGTCTGCTTGAATCTTTCGTTCCCTCTGCCCCTCCCCCCCAATATCGAGCACATGCACTCTCTCTCTAATATTTTCATTCCAGATTGCTAGGAAGCCAGTGATAATGAATAGGTTCTGTCAAAGGGACTCGATTTGAGGAGACTCCCACTGGTCTAGTTGGCATACTTTGAGCTTCAATAAGAATAGTAGGCGTGATGATATGATACTCATCCAATGTATACATAAAATCCAGGCTTCCACAATGTATTAAAAGGAAAAAAATGCTTTTAGAATATGGTACAGAATCAGTTCTTCTTATGAAAATTTGTGTATGAAGAGAAGATACCCAGTATTTATCCTATATGAACTATATTAGTGGATAAACAGATGCTGGAAAGTACTATTTTATAAATGTTTCCACTAAAACATAAAAAACAAATGATGGCAATATAATATACCATTTTAAAACTCCCATTGAAATAATGGATCTAGGTACTGAGTATCCATGGATGCTAATAATATCTCTAAATACCAGATTATCAGAAATCCTGACACTCTAATGAAAGAACATACCACCACCTCTAATTTCACCAAAGGGATTTGACCAGAGTCTGATTAAGCCTCTGGATGCAGCTGCCAGATTGCAGGAGATGCAGAGAACTAGAAGCATATCATAATGCACTGGAAGTACGCTCCATCAGAATCCAGGCTGCAGGGAATTACATGGGCTAAGTAGCCTGGGTTTGGTCAGTAACAGTTATTAATTCTGTTGTATCTTTTAGGTATCTTGAGATGCTATCTTGAGAAAACATTCTCTAAACTTAATGATTTTATGTTGTCTTCAGAGGTTTGGCCACATTGACACCATGGTCACGTGAAAATACATCTTATAATTATATGATATATTTCAACTTTGGATAGGTCTTTGTATTGCTGTGTATTGCTAGGGGCATTCCTGATGTAATAGTGGTATTGATATTATCCCAAAATCAGTGCTTTAAATCATTGGTGTAAAAGTTTATTTGGAAAGACATGATCTATTTGTGATAAAAGTGATTGCCCCATAACTCTGATTTTATCCAGAATTTTAGACACTCTGCCACAGTATGGGCCTCTTATTTAGGATCAGCCCTGCCTTTAGTGAATAAAGAGGTTTAACATTAAATAATTGTAACATAATTGAATATGGTCTGCTGTCATTGGACCACATAAAAATCTTCCTTATTAGCTACTTCTTTCTTTCACATGCCAGGAAGAAGAATCATGGGGTGGCCAGATGAGAAAAGCATGGATGATTTGGATTTAAACTACTCTATAGATGCAGTAAAAGTCATCTTTAATGATACATTCTCATATCATCTGAAGTTTGTCTGGAGAGGGAGAATCCCCAAGATGAAGGAACACAGAGACCATTCAGGTAATTTTCCTACTGGAAGGATTTTTGGTTTTTGGTTTTTGGTTTTTTTGCTATTATGTCATTAGCCGCTAGAAGACACATGCGATCTCTGAAGTCTACACAACCATATGTTGGATGTTCTCTTAATTTCTGAATATATTCTCTTAATTTCTGAATATAAATGCGATTTATTCTTATTTAAATAAAGCCTGTGTTCTTAAGTATATTGTTTTATTAAGAAATAATATTTGCTATTATTCCTATGCCACAGCTAAATATAACCTGAAGGAAAGATTCTTGCTCATTGATTCCCAAACATTTTAAAAAATGTAGTGTTGGGGTGCCTGGGTGGCTCAGTGATTAAAGCCTCTGCCTTTGGCTCAGGTCATGATCTCAGGGTCCTGGGATCGAGCCCCACATCGGGCTCTCTGCTCAGCAAGGAGCCTGCTTCCCCGTCTCTCTCTGCCTGCCTCTCTGCCTATTTGTGATCTCTGTCTCTATCAAATAAATAAATAAAATCTTTTAAAAAAATGAAAAAAATTTTTAAAATGTAGTGCTTTCATGGCAAAAACAACAGAAGAGCAAAGCTAAAAAAAAAAAGCATTCTTGGCTAACTGAGAGAATGATAAGATTGAATGCAAATTATTGATAACTGGCCTTAAAAACATTAATAAAGCAATTCTGGTGTATTCTTCTTGGGTATGTTCTTCCAAACTCACTGGAGAAGTCCTACCATACACTGTATTATTGTGGATTTGTAGTGTCTTTTCGAACATTTGAAGTTTTGATTTTTCCTATAACCAAGATCATCCCATCCCATCATAAATGGTTGTGTTCTTCTTTTACTATAGCTCATTGTCAAGTAATGGATGAAAAAATCACATGTGAAGGTTCCATGTTCTGGGAGAAAGGTTTTGTAGCTTTTCAAGCTGCCATTAATGCTGCTATTATAGAAGTGAGTATTGAGTTAAAGAAAAGTAACTGCATTGTATATTGCATTTTGATGCATGGTGCTATAATAGATTCCCCTACCTTAGCATTTACTTAATTGAGTCACTGAATTTATTTGGCACAATACAGAGAAGAACTGCTATATGTAAGCCATTATGCTAAGCACTGAAGATCAAGAAATCAGTAGAACACAGGTACTTTTCTCCAGGGATCCTGGATATTGAGGGGACAGAAATATGGACATGAAGTCACAATAAAAGTTTAGGTTCTATCATGGAATTACACATGCTGTGCAAGGCAAACAATGAAGCAGAACATACTCTAATGAGAAATATTGGGGAAGATGACTAACGGAAGTGACATTTCAGTTGCACCTTCAAGCATGAGTAAAATTTTGTGCAGGGAAGATGGTAAATAGGAAAGCTCTAAGGAGTCAGTCAGAACTTGGAGTGTTTCAGGAACTACAAGGGGTCATATAGATTTATATGAACATATATATTTAAATGTAGAATGCACATAATTTGTTATAACTGAGAGAAAATACACGAGGTTAGAACTGGTGTGATGATAACAATGTGTTCCTTGATACCTTCCCTTAGATCACAACAAATCATTCAGTGATGGAAGAGCTGATGTCAATCACTGGTATAAACATGAAGATATTACCTTTTGTTGCCCAAGCAGGAGTTGCAACTGATTTTTTCATATTCTTCTGCATTATTTCTTTTTCCACATTCATTTACTATTTATCAGTCAATGTTACACAAGAAAGACAATACATTAAGTCATTGATGATAATGATGGGCCTTCGAGAGTCATCATTCTGGTAAGTAACATGGCCACAATCTATCATGCAACATAGATAAACACAACAAGCTAGCTGGTTGGACTCCCTAAGCCTATGAAGTATGATATTTAAACTGGATTCTTTCCTAAAGAGGTACATCATAAATTAATGGAATAGATTCAATTAAGCATGGTAAATAAAGCTTTCCAAACCTCTTTAAATTAAAGGAAGCCTGATCCCATAGGTGTCTACTGATACCCAAGTCATTAAGAAATAAAAATGATGACGCTCAGTCACTAGTTGCTAGACATGAGTACACCCAAATATGTTAAGAACATGAGGTTTCTATTGTTCAATGAAATACACATTTCAGATATTTCATGAGATAAGGTGGTTAATACTGCCCTTGAATTGAATGAATCATCACTCTAATGACACTGATGGGGAAAGAAAAAAAAAAAAAGCCTGTTATGCTCTTTCAGCACAGAACTTCCTTAGTGGTGGACTAACAGTGTGATTAGAACACAAGCCTGGGAGATAGAAAGCCATGGGTCTTCTCCATCTGAGCATTACCACCCCAAACAACCTACTTAATTTCTTAAAACTCTGTTTCCTTTTCTGTAAAACATTGTAATGGCATCTATCTCTCACTGACTATGAGTATTAAAGAAGGGAATGTACTTAATGTGCTTAGCATTGAGCTCAGCAAAAAATTAAGCATTCAATATTAGATGACAGTTGATAGAAATTTGGGAATGGTCATAGTCTGAGAGGACAGTAGATGTAAGTTAAGAAACCAAGGAGTGATGAATGCCTGGGTGGCTCAGTTGGTTAAGTGTCTGCCTTCAGCTCAGGACATGATCCCAAGGTCCTGGGATTGAGCCCCACATCAGTCTCCCTACTCAGCCAGGAACCTACTTCTCTCTCTCCTCCTCCTCCTGCTTGTGCTCTCTCTCTCTCTCTGTCAAATAAATAAATAAAATCTAGAAAGAAAGAACGAATGAATGAACAACAACAAAAAGAAACCAAGGAGTGAATCTCCAACTAGCAACAAGAAAAACTTAATGAATTTAGTCAAGGGATGTATTTGAGATATAGAATAGCAAAAGTATGAGTTCTGGACTGAAAAAGTCATAGTTTGAATTTGGTTTCTTTATACACTGATGTTATTCTCACTGGTAAACAAGATTTGTAGAATCTACAGAATAGTTCTGGACATATGAAATGTAGTTTTTAAAAGGATGTTAGGAGAGTCCAGGATGGCAGAAGAGTAGATCTTAATTTCATGTGGTATCAGGAATTCAGCTAGAATAGCTTTCAAACCATTCTGAACACTTGCAAACTCAGCTGGAGATCTAAGGAAAGAATTGTTGCAAAACTACAAATAGAAAAGTGACCACTTTCTGCAAGACAGAATGACAAGATGGAAAAACTCACCTCAAAAAAAACAAAAAACAAAAAAAACAAAAATGAACAAACAAAAAAACCAAGAGGCAGTACTGACTGCCAGAGACCTAATCAGTATGGATATAAGTAAGATGTCAGAAATAGAGTTCAGAATAATAATTATAAAGATACCAGCTGGGCTTAAAAAAAAGCATAGAAGGCACTAGAGAATCCCTGTCTGAAGAAATAAAAGAACTAAAAATCTAACCAAACCAAAATAAAAAAGGCTATTAATGAGATACAATAAAAAATGGAAGCTCTGGGACGCCTGGGTGGCTCAGTTGGTTAAGTGGCTGCCTTTGGCTCAGGTCATGATCCCAGCGTCCTGGGATCGAGTCCCACATCGGGCTCCTTGCTCAGCGGTGAGCCTGCTTCTCCCTTTGCCTCTGCCTGCCACTCTGTCTGCTTGTGCTCTCTCTCTCTCTGACAAATAAATAAATAAAATCTTTAAAAAAAATGGAAGCTCTAACTGCTAGGATAAATGAGGCAGAAGAGAGAATTAGTGATATAAAAGACAATATGATGGAGAAAAAAGAAGCTGAGGAAAAGAGAGATCAACTACTACTAGATCACAAGGGGAGAATTTGAGAGACAAGTGATACCATAAAGCAAAATAATATTAGAATAATTGGGATCCCAGAAAATGGGGACAGGAGGTATATTGGAGCAAATTCAAGAAGAGAGCTTCCTTAATCCTGGGAAGAAAACAGGCATTCAAGTCCAGGAGGCACAGAAAAACCCACTCAACAATCAGTTAAAATAGGTCAACACCCTAATATATAATAGTGAAACTTGTAAATCTCAGAGACAGAGAGAAAATCCTGAAAGCAGCTCAGGAAAAGAGGTCCTTAACCTACAAGGGTAGAAACATTAACCAATCAGCAAACATCCACAGAGACCTGGCAAGCCAGAAAGGAGTGGCATCATATAATCAGAGTGCTAAATGGGAGATATACGCAGCCAAGAGTAGTTTATCAAGTTAGAATATCATTCAAAATAGAAGAGATAAAAAGCGTCCAGGACAAACAAACTAAAAGAATTTGTGAACACTAAATCAGTCCTGTAAGAAATATTAAAAGGGATCCTTTAGGAGAAGAGAGGGGCCAAAAGTAACATAGACCAGAAAGGAACAGAGAAAGTATATAGAAATTGTGACTTTACAGGTAACATAATGACATTAAATTTATATCTTTCATTAATTGCTCTAAATGTAAATGGGCTAAACATCCCAATCAAGACACAGGGTATCAGATTGGATAAAAAAGCAAAACCCATCGATATGCTGTCTGCAAGAGATTCATTTCAGACCTGAAGATACCTCCAGATTGAGAGTAAGGGGATGGAAAACCATTTATCATGCTAATGGACACCAAAAGAAAGCTGGGGTGGCAAACCTCATATCAGACAAATTGGATTTTAAACCAAAGACTGTAATAAGAGATAAGGAAGGATACTATATCAAAACTGAAGGGTCTATCCAACAAGAAGTTCTAACAAATTGTAAATATTTATGTCCCTAACATGGGAACAGCCAATTATATAAAGCAATTAATAACAAAATTAAAGAAACACATCAATAATAATACAAAAGTAATAGGGGACTTTAACATTTCCCTCACTGCAATGGACAGATCATCTAAGCAGAAGATCAACAAGGAAACAAGGGCTTTGAATGACACACTGGACCAGATGGACTTCACAGATATATTAGGAGCATTCCATTCTAAAGCTACAGAATTCACATTCTTCTCAAGTGCACATGGACCATCCTCCAGGATAGATCACATACTGGGTGTACAAATCAGCTCTCAATTGGTACCAAAAGATTAGGATCATTCCCTGCTTATTTTTGGACCATAATGCTTTGAAACTGGAACTCAATCACAAGAGGAAATTTCGAAAGAACTCAAATTCATGGAAGCTGAAGAGCATCCTACTAAAGAATGATGGGTCAACCAGGAAATTAAAGAAGAATTAAAAAAATCATGGAAACAAATGAAAATGAAAACACAACAATTCAAAATCTTTGGGATGCAACAAAGTCAGTCATAAGAGGAAAGTATGTAGCAATACAAGGCTTTCTCAAAAAACAAGAAAGGTCTCAAATACACAACCTAACCTTATATCTAAAGGAGTTGGAGAAAGAACAGCAAATAAACCCTAAACTTAGCAGAAGATAATTAATAAAGATTAGGGCAGAATTGGGACACCTGGGTGGCTCTGTCAATTAAGCATCTGCCTTTGGCTCAGGTCATGATTCCAGGGTCCTGGGATCTAACCCCATATCAGGCTCCCTACTCAGTAGAGTCTGTTTCTCCTTTTTTCTCTCCCTCTACATCTCCCCTGCTCGTGCTCTCTCTCGCTCTCTCAAAAAAAGGGAAAAAAAGGATTAGAGCAGAAATCAATGAAATATAAATCAAAAGAACAGTAGAACGGATCAACAAATCTAGGAGTTAATTCTTTGAAAGAATTAATAAGACTTTAATAACACTGATAAGCCTGTGGCCAGACTTACCAAAAAGAAAAAAGATTCAAATAAAATCATGAATGAAAGAAGAGAGATCAAAACCAACATCAAAGAAATACAAACAATTATAAGAACGTATCACAAGTAACTATATGCCAACAAATTATGCAATCTGGAAGAAATGGGTGCATTCCTAGAAACATACAAACTACCAAAACTGAAACAGGAAGAAATAGAAAACCTGAACAGATCCATAACTAGCGAGGAAATTGAAGCAGTAATCGAAAATCTCCCAACAAAAGAGTCCAGGGCCAGGTGGCTTCCTAGCAGAATTCTACTAAACTTTTAAAGAAAAATTAATACTTATTCTTCTGAAGCTGTTTCAAGAAATAGAAATGGAAGGAAAACTTCCAAACTCTTACTACGAGACCAGCATTATATTGATCCCAAAACCTGACAAAGACCCCACCAAAAAGGAGAATTACAGACCAATATCCCTGATGAACATGGATTCAAAAATTCTCACCAAATATTAGCCAATAGGATCCAACAATACATTAAAAGGATTATTCACCACAACCAAATGGGATTTATTCCTGGGCTGCAAGGGTGGTTCAATGTCCACAAACAAATCAATGTGATACACTATATTAATAAAAGAGAGGACAAGAACCATATGACCTCAATAGGTGCAGAAAAAGCATTTGATGAAATTCAGCATCCTTTCTTGTTTAAAACCTTCATAGTATAGGCATAAAGGGAACATATCATAAAAGCCATATATGAAACACCCACAGCAAATATTACTTTCAATGAGGAAAAACTGAGAGCTTTTCTCCAAGGTCAGGAACATAGCAGGGATGTCCACTATCACCACTGTTTTCAACATAGTACTATAAGTCCTAGCCTCAGCAATCAAACAACAAAAGGAAATAAAAGGCATCCAAAATGTCAAACAAGTCAGACTTTCACTCTTCACAGATGACATGATACTTTATGTGAAAAACCCAAAAGACTCCACCCCAAAATTGCTAGAACTCACACAGGAATTCAGCAAAGTGGCAGGATATAAAATCAATGCACAGAAATCAGTTGCATTTCTACACACCAGCAACAAGACAGAAGAAAGAGAAATTAATAGTCAATCCTATTTACAATCACACCCAAAACCATAAGATAACTGGGAATAAACCTAACCAAAGAGGCAAAGGATCTGTACTCAGAAACCTATAGAACACTCAGAAAAGAAACTGAAGAAGACACAAAGATATGGAAATATGTCCATGCTCATGAATTGGAAGAACAAATATTGTTAAAATGTCTATGCTACCTAGAGCATCTATACATTCAATGCAATCAAACATCATCAACTTTTTGACAGAGCTTGAATAAATAATCCTAAAATTTGTATATAATCAGAAAAGACCCGAAATAGCCAAAGGAATGTTGAGAAGGAAAATCAAGCCTGGTGGCATCACAACCCCAGACTTCAAGCTCTATGACAAAGCTGCAATCATTAAGACAGTATGGTACTGGCATAAAAATGGACACATAGATCAATGGAACAGAACAGAAACCCCAGAAATGGATCCTCAACTCTATGGTCAACTGATCTTCAACAAAACAGGAAAGGATATCTAATGGAAAAAAGACAATCTCTTCAACAAATGGTGTTGGGAAAATCAGACGGCCACATGCAGCAGAATGAAAGTGGATCATTTTCTTACATCATTCACAAAAATAGACTCAAAATGGGTGAAAGACCTAAATGTGAGAAAGGAATCCATCAAAATCATAGAGGAGAACACAGGCAGCAACCTCTGTGACCTCAGCTGCAGCAACTTCTTGCTGGACACGTCTCTAAAGGCAAAGGAAACAAAGGCAAAAATGAACTATTGGGACTTCATCAAGATAAAAAGCTTTTGCACAGTAAAGGAAATAATCAACAACAGAATGGGAGAAGATATTTGCAATGTCTTATTAGATAAAGGGGTAGGGTGCCTGGGTGGCTCAGTGGGTTAAAGCCTCTGCCTTCAGCTCAGGTCATGATCTCAGGGTCCTGGGATCGAGTCTCTCATCGGGTTCTCTGCTCAGCAGGGAGCCTGCTTCTTCCTCTCTCTGCCTGCCTCTCTGCCTACTTGTGATCTGCCAAATGAATAAATAAAATCTTTTAAAAAAGAAAAAAAATAAATAAAATGAGAAATTTACAGAGAGTCAGAGAAAAGTAAACAATATGATAAAAAGAAGAGAGAAACCAAATAAATCCAATGAAGGAAGGTTAAAAAAAAATCAGGACTTTTCCCCCATAAGAAAAGGCTGTGACATTCTACTGATAATGCATATGAATGAAATTAAGAAGTTTATAGGACTCAGAGAGATGAACAATTTCAGATGAACAGATATGATTGAGCAAAGGGTACCATTACAATTAGGCAAGATTTACTAAAACGTGATGGCATTTTATACTTTGGAGAAAAGAAAGCTAAGTGTTCATCATGGTCTCATTATAAACCAGTTACCACATTAAACACATAACGTACAACATTTCATTTAATTATCTTATTTTTCAGTAGACATTAAGGAAATTTAGAGAGATCCTGTAGCTACCTCTCAAATCATACCATTACAATGTAGCACAGAAAGCCTGAACCTACATCTGTATGATTAGGAAGCTTGTTATCTTTCCCCTATAAAAAACTTTATTCCTGTTTTTTGTGGCAATGATAGCAAGAAAACCATATCTTCGTATCCATCTATCTTTCTGTATCTCTGTGTTGCAATGCCTACCTGTGTATCTGATCTATACCTAATCCATATCTAATCATCTCTATAAGGGGTTAGCAAGCTATTTGGACAATCTGCAAGCTAGTAATGACTTTTATGAAAATGCCTAAAAAATCAAAAGAACAATAATATTTTATGGCACACAAAAATTTATATGAAATTCCAATGTCAGGGTCTATAAATAAATTTTTTATTGGAATGGAGTCCAGTCATTTACATGTTTCCTGTGACTGCAAAGGTAGACTTCAGTAGTTGCAAGAGACCATATGGTCCAAAGAGCCTAAAAGATTTACTATCTGGCTCAGCAGAGAAAATGTTTGCTGATCCCTGCTTCATGTTTTTCCTCCATAGTATTTATACTCTACTGAAAGATGTAGTCCAGAATGGATATATAGGTTGTAGATGTCTTCCCAGAAAACCATTCCCAATTACCCTCATTACATGACTCTGCCTATTTCTTTCTGATTTTGCAATTAGTTACCTATTTTACCTGTTTACTTGTTTATTGTCTACCTCCCCTGGTAGCATATGAACTTTGGGGACAGAGAAGTTTTCTAATCTCTTAGCTGTTATATTCCCTTTGTTCTTCATAGAGGGTAAGCTTCCCAAGTCATTTGCAGAGTAAATGCATAAATAAAATGATTAAAGTGCCAGCCCTCTGAACTGATGCTTAGTTTCTGTGCTAGGCTCTCCTGGGGTTTGATGTATGCTGGCTTCATCTTTATTGTGGCTACTTTGATGGCTCTTATTACAAAATCTGCCCAAGTTGTCGTCCTAACTGGCTTCATGGTGGTCTTCACTCTCTTTCTCCTCTATGGCCTGTCTTTGGTGAGTTGGTGAATTTAATATCTTTCTCTCTCTCTCTCTCAGAGAAAGCCTGCCAGTCATTTCTCACTGATTCTAGTCACACCTCTTCTGTTTCTGTTTGCTGTATAACAGTATTTGCATGAGACAGTATCTGGGGGCAGGGGGAGAGGAATGGATGTTATATATTTTTGAATTATGAAATTTTTTTATTATGATACTGATGATTCTCAGAGATTTATATACTACCTGAAGTTTTTCTCTCCTCTCAGATAACTTTAGCTTTCCTGATGAGCGTGTTGATAAAGAAACCTTTCCTTACTGGGTTGGTTGTCTTTCTCCTTACTGTCTTTTGGGGGAGTCTGGGATTCACTGCATTGTACAGACATCTTCCTGCATTTTTGGAATGGACCTTATGTCTTCTTAGCCCTTTTGCTTTCACTGCTGGAATGGCCCAGGTAAGAGTTAATATAACGACTTCATATTTTACAGAACATTAAAAAGTTCTCTCTGAGGAATTCATCCTCTATGTTCTAAGCATCAAAATTCCTACCCACTTTTGTAAAGATACACATGTAAGGTATTGGGGGGGGTATTTTTCTCTCCCAGCATAACTGGCTTTAAGTCATTAAAGATAGGTTGATACTTCATTATTGACGTGGTTCTGCTTTTACTTTCAATGGGTTTTCCCAACGAACATTTAGCTTATTTAATGCACAGGGAACATGACTCTTAATACTATCACAAGTATTTGAAAACCAGGAATTCAATAGAAATAAATTTTTATTTTTAATTGGCCAATTGTACATGAAACTGAACCCCTTCTTGGAAAACTTAATTCTAGGTGTGACATCATAGCCGTAAAATTCTACATGAAAGGTTACATTACATATAAACTCATTGTAACGCACTATAGTGTGCATTACAATGTACCATGTACAATTTCTTATTATAATAAGAAATTAGTATTGTGTCTTCTGTCCAGCCATTGAAGTATTTCCAGCCTTTCATGTTTTTACTTTCAAATAGTGTCCCCTTTCTAGAACATCCCCTTTGCCCCCATCCTACAACTGATGAAATCCTTAGGCAGTCCCTCCTGTGAGTTTTCACTTCCCAAAGTATTTGCTCACTTCTGCCAATGGGTCTCTAAGCCTTCAGTACCTACCTCCACTAACTTCCCAAATTGATTTGTAGTTATATGGATTCAGTGTCATGTCTTCCAATAGATTAGAGCTCTGTGAAGACAGGAACCGTGTTTTATTTTTTTCAATCTCAGTGTTCAGCAGAAATAAGACAATAATAATTCTTTATACTCCATTTATCCTTCTAAAATTCAATGTATGTATCTTTTTTCCAGCTTATACATTTGGACTATGATGTGAATTCTAACATCCATTTGGATTCTTCCGACAACCCATACCTAATAATAGCTACTCTTTTCATGTTGGTTTTTGATGGTCTTCTGTATTTGGCTTTGACATTATATTTTGACAAAATTTTGCCCAGTAAGTAGTAACCTAATTGTGTATCAGTGCAATTTCATTCAGTGCATTTCTTTAAAATAACTGTCTACAACATACCAAATATAAATTATCAAGCATTTTTTTCAACATTTCTAAAATGAACCCAATGGTATTCTGCATTTCGTTTTATAGAATTGCTTTCTAAGGTCTCATTCTACCACAATATTTTAAATTGTTTCTTTTTAAAGAGACACTTGCAAGAGATGAAAGATAATTATACTATTAGTGCTTATATTAGTGCTAGATGAAGAAAGCTAGATGGTACTGGATCTTAAGGGTGTTTAAATGCTTCCCAAAGCAGCTGCCTTGACAAACTGTTCTGTGATCAATAACCCTTAAAGAAGTGACTGATCCAATACTCAGTTGCCTCCTGTTCATATAGCTGAATATGGACATCGACGTTCTCCTCGGTTTTTCCTGAATTCCTCTTCTTGGTTTCAACACCAAAGGGCTGATCATGTGGCCCTTGAGAATGAAATAGATTCAAATTCTTCATCCAATGACTCTTTTGAACCGGTGTCTCCAGAATTCCATGGGAGAGAAGCCATCAGGTAATAAATAAATTACATGAAGGTGCAAATGGAGAACAGGCCAGGGACCCGAGCTCTATCTGGAAAAACATAGATGTGACAAAGATTTCCTGGGTGTCTCTTTGTACCCACCTATATCCAGGCCGTTCCACTCACGAAAGGCCACGATTATTGTTAAAAGCACTCAGTTTTCCCACATTGTCAGCATTTATACTTACAAGTATCTTATTGTAGAACAACAAATATCAAGGAATAAATAATCTTCATATTTCCATTTCTCTCATTTTCTTTTTTCCCTCTTCTTGATGCTGTGCTCCCTTTCTGTGACTGTTTTCTTTAGGAAAGACACTGTCATCGTATCCCTTGTTATTCTTCATCTTTTCTCTCTAATTTACTCTGTCTCTCTCCTCTTTGCTTCCTAATGGAGAAGGGGAGAAGGGAGAGGCAGGTGATGCGGAAAAGGGGAAAAAAGCATCCAGAGAGATGGGAAGAAAATGTAAGTTAGGGTACTCATGCCATGCATATCTTCCATTTGAGATATGGGTGTGTTTTATTCAGTGCTGCTTTCTTTATTTCCAAACAACTAGAAATCCCTAATTTCCCTGGGTCTTTGCTCAACATTTGTTCCTCATTCAATTCGCCATTGTCTCCTGAGGAAAGTTCCTGTCACCATGGGTCACGTGAGGGAAAGAGCCCCTGGAATTTTCTCACAACCCCAAAGACTTGATTTCTCAACTCTCTGTCTACTTCCACAATGTCCTTAACACATTTTTCTCCCTTTTTCAGAATAAGAAATCTTAAGAAAGAATATAGAAAAGGAAAACATGAAAAAGTAGAAGCCTTGAAAGGTAATGAACTAACATCATATTTAATATGGCTGTTCGATTTGGTGACTATGCCTCACTGTTGTACTGTCTTCATGGGGATAAAGAACAGATATTCCAGACCACAATTCTCCTTCATTTGAGCACACTGTGTTTCCTCCTGAGTATACATAAAACCATGGAACAATTTTAGAAAGTCAGGGTGTGCCATGGATAACTTATGGGTTTGAAAGTTGTATGATTGCATCATGAAGTTCTTTATGTTCAACTCATCACACTCCCTAATCCTAATAAATGATCTTTATTATAGTCAGCCCATTTTTAATGACAAAACTGCCCTCATCCTAAAAATTGTTAATCACATGATAATATATCATCACAATGCTATAGCTATAAAGTGTGTATCATGGAAGATGCAATTTTAAAAAGAAGGATTTGGGGATGGATTTTATTTTGAATATTGCTAGACAAATATATACATGTTATAAGAAATTATAAAAACTTTGGAGAATGTGGGGGCACCTGCATGGCTCAGTTGGTGAAACGTCAGACTCTTGATTTCGGCTCAGGGTCGTGAGATCGAGCCTCACATCGGGCACAACACACCGCACAGGTCTGCTTGAGATTTTCTCTCTTCTTCTCCTTCTGCCCCTCCCCCTGCTGTGCTCTCACTCTAAATAAAAAAATAAAATCTTAAAAAAAAATTGGGGGGGCAAATGTAAAGTTAATATGTAGGCTCTGAATGGGATTTTTGTTTGTTTGTTTTTTTGTTTGTTTGTTTGTTTTTTGTAATAACACCAGGTCTGGTATTTGACATATACGAAGGCCAGATCACTGCCCTCCTTGGTCACAGTGGAGCTGGGAAAACCACCCTGTTGAACATGCTCAGTGGACTGTCCGTCCCAACGTCAGGTGAGAAGATAATTACAGGCAAGAACATGAGCCCATAAGTTAACTGTGCATTTTATTCGTTAATTAGTTTTGTTGGTTCATTTCAATAGTTAGTAGTTTCATTAACTGCTAGTCACACCGGGTACTTCAGAGACAAGTCTTACAAGTTTCCCCAAGGTTTTCTTTTAATAGATGTATGTTCTACTCATTCAGAAAAGTCTTTGTGGTTTTAATATTTCAAAATCAGTAGCTTTATAAATGGGCACTCTAGCTTGTTCAGATGAATTGTGAGCATTATCTTTTTAGTCAAGAGTGTACTCCATAAAGGTACAGTATGTTTAAAAGACTCTAGTGTTAGACACACATTGTTTTTTCCCTTTAAAATATCGTAAATGAAGCATGGCAGGTTATCCTGATGCTGACTGTTAATTTTTCTGCTTCTAGGTTCGGTCACCATCTATAACCACACCCTTTCAGAAATGGCTGACTTGGAAGGCATCAGCAAGCTCACTGGAGTCTGTCCACAATCCAACGTGCAATTTGGCTTCCTCACTGTGAAAGAAAATCTCAGGCTTTTCGCTAAAATAAAAGGGATTCAGCCGCATGAAGTGGAACAAGAGGTAGAGGAACATATTAGGTGCCACACATCCATGAACGTGAAATTGTTTATCTAGAAAATTCTAAATGTATTTGTGTTATTGCTACATGGTTCATCATCAAAAGGGCAAAAAAGCCCTTGGCAATGAACAGCAAAACAACTGTGTCTTTAAAAACAAACATGCTGGGTTTTGGACTAAACATCCTTTTCTTTCTTTCTTTCTTTCTTTCTTTCTTTCTTTCTTTCTTTCTTTCTTTCTGGTTAGATACAACAAGTTTTAAGGGACTTGGAGATGGAAAATATTCAAGATATTCTTGCTCAAAATTTAAGTGGTGGACAAAAAAGGAAACTAACTTTTGGGATTGCCATTTTAGGAGACCCTCAGGTAAGTCAAGCCAAAATTACTGGTGAATGAGATTGAGGACTGTGGAACTATTGTATTCCATCAGACTGAATTTGCAAATGGTGAATGTAAAAGAACTGTTCAAATGAAAAATTAAATAGTAAGCTATTTCTCCCAAACACTTTTACACATATATTGCTTTTTTTATTTTTTATTATTTTTCTTTTTGCCAAGAATGGAGTGTTTTTTTTTTTTAAATCAACATATATGTATTTGCCCCAGGGGTACAGGTCTGTGAATCATCAGCACTCACATTTCACAGCACTCAACATAGCACATATCCTCCTCAATGTCCATAACCCAGCCACCCTATTCCTCCCCCTCACCCCCAGCAACCCCAGTAACCCTCAGTTTGTTTCCTGAGAGTAGGAGTATCTTAGGGTTTGTCTGCCTTCCTGGTCCCATCTTGTTTCATTTTTCCCTCCCTTTCCCCCAAAACCCCCTGCCCTGCCTCTCAAATTCCTTATATCAGAGATCATATGATAATTGTCTTTCTCTGATTGACTTATTTCGCTTAGCATAATACCCTCTAGTTCCATATTGCTTTAAAAAAAAAACAAACTGACCTGAAAGGGGAAAATGATTTTATGTTTCCCTACTGTGCAGGTTTTGCTGTTGGATGAACCAACTGCTGGGTCAGATCCTCTTTCAAGGCACCGTGTATGGAACCTCCTAAAAGAGAGGAAATCCAATAGAGTCATTCTCTTCAGTACGCAGTTCATGGATGAGGCTGACATCCTGGCTGGTGATATTCTTTTTTTTTTTTTTTTTTTTTTTTTTTAGATTCCACATATAAGTGAGATTATACAGTATTTGTCTTTTGCTTTCTCTGATTTCTCTCACTTAGCCTAATGCCTTCAAGTTCCATCCATGTCCTTTCATGGTGGTTCTTGGTTTTCTCTTGTATCTTGGTGGAGAAATTAAGGATGTGGGTGAAATATGTGTAGATAAGTTTCAACACAGCTACTCTGTGTGTGTGTGTGTGTGTGTGTGTGTGTGTGTGTGTGTGTGTATAGGAGATTCTTGCTGTCATCCATTTGAATGTCCACATCTCCACGTACATTGTCCCACAAATGTATTCTGATCTTATTGCAAAGAACTCATTGGTTATAAATATATAGCATACTCTTCAAATATATATATGTTTTATTCATTAGGAAAGTCAGTTGGCTTGAAATAGATCCTTCCATTGTATGATAATTTTTCTGAACATACAAGAGAATAAACTAACATAACATTTTAGTTATTGGATAATGAGGAAATTGGCTTACATAAGACCAGAATTAGAATGCAAATATTTTAGTGGATCATGCTCCTAAAATATACTATTAATGGATTTGTTCTTTTATAAACAATGAGAGAATAACCTCTTAATGCGATGCATTGTTTTTCTTTTCTGCTTAGACAGGAAGGTGTTTATATCCAAGGGGAGACTGAAGTGTGCAGGCTCTTCTCTATTCCTGAAGAAGAAATGGGGCATTGGCTACCATTTAAGGTACAACCTGTATTGTTGGAGACATGTTAGAACACGTTGCAGACAGGAGATCTCAGTATTAGTACGTTATTAATCATTAATATGTCAGTATTAGTATGTAAGCTACAGAATTATTAAGTTCCTTTCAAGAGTGCTACGTTAGAATGACACCACACTGCTCTCTTTCTTAGCTAGTATGAAGGGCAGGTGGGATTGTAGACATGGAGACTACATGTCTTTAGTTTAGTTTAAACTAAATTTAAACAACATTTTTGGAAAATAGTTTCACAACACATTGTTTGCAGTGAGAAATGTAGTGACATTCCCAACCTCTCTCATCATTTTTCCAACGCTTCCTTTTTGTTCATCACGACAATGTCAAGTCTCTCTGTTCTCCCTGATTTCATAGTCTCCCTCATTCTTTTCTATCTCTTTCTCTTCCTGATAATAATGAATATCATTATTAATCATTATTATTATTACTGTTGTTATGTTATTAAGTAATGTCTATCACTTATTCCATGTTGGCTATGCTCTATATTCTTGCTAGGATATTTACATGTGGAATACTCATATAATTTATTTAATCCTTCAAATAACTGTAAGAAGATGGTACTATTGGCCTCTGACATGTCAGGGAGTTTTAGTAATAGACCCAATCTCCCATTATTTAAAGTGGTAGAATCTTTGGGCCAAGATTACAGGTGTGATATGAATCTCTCCCTGTAATTCCTGCTAAAATATTAGTATTTCTTAAAAAATAATTTAGTCACTTTATCCTCAGAATTTAAAGGTATACCCTATATTGTGTACTGAGGGTTTAATCTGATCAAATCTATCACTCCATCATGATTACTTGGTACAATCTAATCGAATCAATACCTTCCAACTAAAATGAACCACTCACTGTTTTCTATGTTCCATGATTTAATTGTCTTCTCTCTGCTCAAGGTAGGACATCTGTTTGACATGTCCTCCTCCAACCCATTTTAACCAAGTTCAAATCTTGTCCATCCTTAAAGGTCTTTTCTGAATATTTTCTCCTTAATAACCATCCTCTTTTCTGGAACCTGGGAAGCACTATTTTGAATTGTTACCTCAGGCAAATTAATTAACCTTTGATCCTCAGTAATTTTATTTATATAATTGTGGTAATGATACCCACATTGCAGTTAAAGCTAAAAATATTGAATGAATGAATATTTGACAAGGTGCCAAGTGCTTAACTGACTTAAACTTCCCTCTCTCACACTTCTTCCATAATATGCTGCTTTATATTACTGCTACATTCCAAGCTCCTCTAGGGAAGGTTCTGCATTCTTTCTGTTTGGGATCCAGGATCATGTATTACATGGGGCCTTGTAAACACAGAATAGTTTTACCTAAAATTGATTTTTTAAAGTTGTGTGATCAAAGAGATATCTTCATCATTTGATAGCCTCAGTAAATTTTGATGGATGTGACTAATAATGGTGCTTCTAAAATCCAATGATTTCATGAAGAACTTTACATGTTTTCACTAAGAAGACAGATCATCTTTGAGTTGAATAAACTTTGGACCAAAAAATGATAAAATTAGCTAACATATATGGAGGGTTTGCTTGGTGCAAGGCTCTGTGTGATCACATGCATACTTTATTTTATTCTGTCTTTTGAATTTCTTTGAGAGCTGAGTATTAGAACATTGATTGGAATTTTGATGGAAAATTGATGCTGGAAGACTAACTAAACCTAAGTTCAGGAACATGGATCAGTGGGACATTAGGACCATGATCTTAATGACTCTATCAAGTTACTCCTGGGTCTGTGTTCACCATGTTCAAGTTTTAGTTTTTGTAAAACCCATACTTTATTGTAAAAGGGAAATTGAATCTGAGCTTTTGGATAGATGGATTGAAAATCAGGCATTTCCTCTACCTCACTCCAGCCAACATCTAGCTGAATATCTCTTCCCTCCAAATAATAATACTTGAGTTATTACCCCTTACATTAGTGCCTCTAGATTATATAGTTTGGACTATATTTGGACTATTTAGTATGTCTTGCTTCTTCCATTTCTCTCTCTCTCTCTCTCTCTCTCTCTCTATATATATATATATATAAATATAATCATCTCATAAATATTAATGAAGTGACAAACCTACTACAATTGTTTGTAGAGATGGTGTTGGATAAAAAATAGCTTTAACATGCTCTTTTTAAATGTCAGTTTGCATCTAAATGAAATGTGTGATCCAGACAGTATAACATCACTCGTTAAACAACACATCCCTGATGCCAAATTAAGGGCACAGAGTGAAGAAAAGCTTGTATATATTTTGCCTTTGGAGAGGACAAACAAATTTCCAGGTAACAGAATATAGAGACCACAGAATGATTTATAACAATGTTACTAACAATAACAGTTGTCTTAAGAATGATGGCTGACACTTTTATGCTTGCTAAGTGCATGGCAGTGTGCATAACTTTTTGATGTTCCCCAGAGTTACTGCTAGTATTAGCTCCTGATATTATCCCCAAATCACTTATGAGTAAACTGAGGCAAAAGATGCCAAATATGCTTCAAGTGGCAACCTAGACAGTTAAGAGGTATAGGACCACATCAAGCTAAAATTAGGAATATTTGGAACATTTGTTTCAGGAATGAATGAGAGAGCCTGGTCCGGGCAAGGAGGGGTCTGTGAAAACAGCATGGAGTATTAAATGGGAGTTGAGGGAATGGTACACCACCACATGTAGATGGTTTTATTATAAACACCATGACATAATATTGTAATCCAAGTAACCGAATAGTAACTACAATCAAACCATATGTAGCCAAACTTCTAAACTTACAATTTTGCTGCGAATACAGAAGCCTGGAGGCTCAGTGCCATCCACTTTTCTAGCTCGTCTCTCAATATGCTTTCATTTGCCAAGAGTTTTGAGGTAGATGGCATTTAAAAAAAAAGTATGACCATAAAATGTGTTTACTTTGAGATCAAGGAATGTGCCAGCTTTTAATGGATGCTAATGGCTCCGTGGCTTTCTGCTTGAATGAATAAACCTGCCATAATCATGGTTCATAAGGAAATACAGCACTAGACAGTAGCACGTTCTCATTGAAAGCTGGGATAATAGAGCCAGACTGGGTAGGTTCAAATCCCAGCAAGGCAGTTATGAGCTCCATTATCCTGGACAAATTATATTACTTTTCTGTACTTTAGTTTCCCTATTTGTAACAAAGGGATAATGATAGTACTAACTTTATAGGATTTTCATGAGGATTAAATGATTTAATATATTTAAATATATTATTAAAATATTAAAAATAAGCACAGCACCTAGAATCATAACTGACATAGAAGTTATAGTATTTCTTCAAGTCTAAGACAGCCTCAGCTGTAAGATGTGAAATAGAAAGAAATGGTGCCACCATTTACAATGACATACCAACATTTGGGATACATGCTCATTTCAAATACGGTAAAAGATGATGAAATGTATTTATCTTAGAATCAGTGAAGTAACTGTAGTCCTAGATGTGTGCACCATGTCTTTGATATACATATACGTATGGAAACAGAAATCTTTATGAAACCCACAAAACAAAGTGTTAAATGTTTATTTGTTAAATGCATTTCAGAGGGGAATGCACAATTTTAAAAAAGACTGAAAAAGAACCAACACTTAGAACTCATTAGAAATTGTGACTACTTCTGTATTTTTATTTATCTAACACACTTTTAAGATAGATACCTTTAATTTCTCCCAATATTTGAATTAGTTCATCCTTTATTCTACTTCAAATTTTCCTGAACTGCCCCCAAATTATGCCCAGTATCTTTAAGAAAACAAAAAACAAAAACAACCCTCAAAATGGCCTACTAATCCTTATAAAGACATATCTTCTTTTTAAAAAATTTTTTGCAGCATGATGTCTCTTTTATTTTTTTATTTAAATTCAATTAATTAACATATAGTGTATTATTAGTTTCAGAAGTAGAGTTCAGTGATTCATCATTCTTATATAACACCCAGTGTTCATTACATCACTTGTCCTCCTTAATGCCCATCACCCAGTTACCCCATTCCCCAACGCCCCCGGGAATCCTCAGTGTGTCTCCTATAGTTAAGAGTCTCTTATGTTTTGTCTCTCAAATCCTACCTTCTTTGAAGGCTCTTGTGTAATCTTCATACCATGGTCAGAAGCTGGAAAAAAGAGAGTAATTGCAAAGTTACATGCATACTTTGTTCTTTCCTTTAACTTATATATTTCTCTAAAATAGGGAAGATTGTGAAGCACCTAATTATTTCTATAAACATTAGTTCTTTTGCATTTGTATTCTATTGCTCTTATTCCTAAGAGCATTCTTACATTCTTATATTCCTGAATGAATGGGGTTTTAGAATTTAATATTTCCTACCTTAGGCATTCATAGGTGCTATAGCACGTACTGTAGACTGGGGGTCTTACAAACAGTAGACATTGATTTTTTGATGGTTCTGTATGCTGGAAAGTCCAAGATCTGGGTTCCAGCGCCTTTGGGTTCTCATGAGATACCCCTTTGAAGTTGCAGAATGCAGACTTCTCCTGGTCTTCCCATATGGCAGGGAGCAGGGAGAGGAAGCCAGATTTCTTGTGACTCTTTCAAAGGTATTAATCCCATTAATGAAAGCTCCACTCTCAGGACCTCATCTAACACTAATTATCTCCCAAAGCCCCCACCTCCTAATACCATCACACCAGAGGGTAGGGTTTCAACATACAGATTTAAGGGGATTTATGGGAGACCACAAGCATTCAGTTCATTTATTACATTCCCCATTATCAAACAGATTAATTTTTTTAAAGATTTTATTTATTTATTTGTCAGAGAGAGAGAGAGAGAGAGAGTACACACAAGCAGGCATAGTGGCAGGCAGAGGCAGAGGGAGAAGCAGGCTCTCTGCCGAACAAGGAGCCCAATGCAGGACTTGATCCCAGGACCCTGGGATCATGACCTGAGCCGAAGGCAGTGGCTTAACCAACTAAGCCACCCAGGCATCCCCAGAATTAATTTTTTAAAACAGAATAAATAAAACATAATATTTCTTAATGAACTCAGCATATGTAGCTTTCCAAGAATGAAACATAGATGATTACAATTTTATACTCAAGACATGGAAACATACTGTATAGGTTATTTTAGAAAGAAGGGAATGTCTATATCATAGCTTTGTTTCTTATGAATGCTTTTGGGCTATCACACATGTTATCTATTGTTGAAAAATGTAGTTACTTAATATCATTACAAATTATATTCTTCTAATGCATTTCTGTGACTACTTTTAGATCTTTACAGGGACCTTGATAGATGCTCTAACCAAGGCATTGAGAATTATGGCGTTTCCATGACAACTTTGAATGAAGTGTTCTTGAAATTAGAAGGAAAATCAGCTATTGATGAATCAGGTAAAAAAAAAAAAAGAACAAAAAAGAAACTTCAATTTTACCTTTCTGTAGAATATTCTATCTTGAAAATATAGATGAGGTTGTATGTTTTGGGAGGTGCTCTGATTCAGTCTGGTCTTGGGAATTCTTAGAGCAGAGAAGAGATGTATTTCTGTCTCTTTCCTTTTCTCCCAATGCTGGACCCCCCTCTTAAATTCCTTATTTTGTAGTATGCATTTTACTAAGGGTGTGGGATATGGCAGTGCACAAGATTAGGTCCTCATGGAGTAGACAATAAATATGTAAGTGCTATAGAGAGAAGGAAATTAGAATTGTATGTTGACAGTTAACCTTTCTTGTAACATTTTGAGGATATAGTCTCAATGTCTTCAGGATTCCATTGTTGTTATGAGAAGATTTGCTGTCAGTATTTTTTTGAGTATTTTTTTATTGGTTGAGTGGGTTTTTAAAAATACCTCTTTCTCTCTTTTCCCCACTGTTGAAGTTACATACTTGTGGTTATGCTTAACTTTTAGTATACATATATTAGAGCTTTCTAAAAGTCTAGAGCTGATCAGTTTCTCTAGGCATGTCTTCCAAAAGAAGTAACCTTTTTCTTGTCTTCAAGAAATGGCTACATGAAAAAAATATTGTCTCTACCAATTTTATATCCTTATATCCTTAAAATATACCAATTTTAAGAGGATAGGGAGGGTTCTATATATACTGACTTTTCTCCCTTAGTCAGAAATACTGATAGTTTATCTTTTGCAATGAGTATATTTTTCTAAGCTAAATATGGGTTTCTTTTCATTGACTTTCCGAGAGTGAATTAAGTCCTTAAGGCTATAGACCCAAACCTTTTTAAAAAGAAAAAACAATATTTCTTTTATTATGTCATTAGTTTTTCTTCTTGTATTATGCTTTTTTTTTTTTTGCTTTGTTTCCTTTACTTTAGCTGTTACTCTCGTAATGCCATGAATTCATTTATTAGCATCTCCTTGCCCAAGATTCTCTTCTCCAATACCACTTGGTGGAAAGGCGGTCATCGAGAAATCTAAGTAATATGCATCTAAAATGACACCTTATAAATTATCAATTTTATGTTTTATAGATGCTGGAATTTGGGGAGAGTTACGAAGTAATAGGAGAAAAGACACAGGAAGCCTTGTTGAGCTGGAACAAGTTTTGTCTTCCTTTAAGGAAACAAAGAAATCCATGCGTGGCATGGCTCTCTGGAGACAACAGCTCTCTGCAGTAGCAAAAGTTCGCTTCCTCAAGTTAAAGAATGAAAAAAAAACCCTGTTGACCATGTGAGTACCCAGGTATTTCAGATATGTTGGGTCAGTACTCTCGAAATAAATTCAAGGGGAAAAAACAAACACACCTCTGAAATACAGCACAGCAATTGCATGTGGTCATTTTTTTTTTTAACCCAGAAAATAATTTCTAATTGCTTGGGTGGGTATATAACTAAACCTGGTAAAGCTTGGGCTTTTTCTTTTAATTCCACACAGAATCTGCTCTTATCCAAGAGTTGAAATCGTTTTTCTGAAGCATGGAAGTTAGCACTCGGGTCCCATCCCCAGAACTTTCTTTTTGCCCAAAGAGCTCTGTGCCAGGCGGTATCTGAGCCTGTATCCGTCCTCGGGAACCTGCTTCATGGTTCACACATTTCCCTTTAGCTTTGGGTCCTTCATGAAGCAGTACCTCCTTGCAAAAACCCTGATCTCCAGCCAGGACTCATTCATTAAAAAATACTTGCTAGCACTTCTGCCTAACACTCTATGTTAAATATCTGTAACACTTACCAATATAAATCAGACATGAGATTTGGCTCATGAAGGTGATTAGAAGTATACTAAAAACCATATTGTCAACCAGAACATTCAGTATGCAAAAGATTAGGTTCCAATATGGGCATCAGAAAAATCATCTTGTGATTTTTTTTTTTTTGTGAGAAATGGAGTCTGGTGTAGGAAAATGTAACAGTTAACCAGGAAGCCTGATGTGGGGCTTGATCCCAGGATCCTGAGATCATGACCTAAGCCAAAGGCAGAGGCTTAACCCACTGAGGCACCCAGGCACCCCTAAAAAATAATTTTCATAATGTATTACATACAGCTGAACAGTTTGGGCTTTGTGACTAGAAAGGAAGTATTGAAAATTTTTTTATTTGAAAAGATGATTGACATAATTAGCACAGATTGCTAGGTGGGGAACTGTGGGTGGCTCAGCCAGCTGGGCATCCGACTCCGGATTTAGCTCAGGTCATGATCTCAAGGTCATGAGATTCCTCCCTGTGTTAGACACTGCCCTCAGAAGGGAGTCTGCTTGGGGATTTCTCTCTCTCTTCCTCTGTCCCTCCCCTCATTCTTGCTCATTCTCAATCTCTCTCTAAAACAAAAAAAATAAACAGATTGCCAAATTGCACTTAATTGGGCAACAGTGCAAAATTGGCTTGGAAATAGTAGACTCTAGAGACCGGGAAAACAGTCATTGAGGACAATATTGAAAGAGGTCAGGAGAGAGATAATTAAGGTCCAAACTTAGAAAGTGGAAGACAAAAGGCTTTTAGGCACCTAATAATGATGATATGATAGAAATTTTCAGCTATTCAGAAAAGGGACTTAAAGGAGACAGATTAGTGGAAAATGGCCCTTGGAACTTGAATAAATGAGAAAATGTTGTAATTTATACAAATTGGAAACAGGAAGGGAAAATGCTTGAGTGGCATGCCAGTGTGCAGTGGTCTAGAAAAAGGAAGAAATGCAAGATGGAAACAGAGGAAAGAAGTGGGAATTGGAGAGAGATTTGAGTCCTACCCAGCCAACCTCATGAACTTGAGTGACATGTCCAAAATGGGCAGGGCAGGGGAGTGGGGGAGAGCCATTAGAGAGATAGAAAGACCAAGCATAGATATGTAGGAACCATTTCATTTCAGAAAAAAGAAACAAGGGGTGGGGTGGGGGCGGGGAGAAGCATGATTCTTATATTTGCTTAGTGTTTAGAATTTATTTCTATTTTAATATCCATTATCTACTCAAACTTAAAAATCTATAAACGTTGCTATAGATGAATTTTTTTTTCCTTTTACATTTTCTTCCATGTAGATTATTGCTTCTTGGTATCAGCTTTTGCCCTCAGCTTTTAGAGCATCTATTCTATGAGTTATATCAAAAAAGTTATTCTTGGGGACTAGCTCCTGATATGTACTTCCTCTCACCGGGACAACTGCCTCAAGCTCCTCTGACCCACTTACTGGTCATCAATAAAACAGGTAAACATGAAGCAAATGTAATTTTCCAGCTTTGTTCTTCTTGAGAGTTTCCCCAGACAACATAAACCATGAGGGGGTAGAAAAAATTCTGCATGTTTTAGATCACCTATGAGGCCAAATAGGAAATTAATTTAAAAAAATGAAAAATGTGGGATTATGGACATTGGGGAGGGTATGTGCTATGGTGAGTGCTGTGAAGTGTGTAAACCTGGCGATTCACAGACCTGTACCCCTGGGGATAAAAAGATATTATATGTTTAAAAAAAATAAAACTTAAAAAAAAAAAATGAAAAATTAATGGGATTGGGAGGGAGACAAACCATAAGTGACTCTTAATCTCACAAAACAAACTGAGGGTTGCTGGGGGTCGGGGGGTCGGGAGAGGGGGTGGGGTTATGGACATTGGGGAGGGTATGTGCTATGGTGCGTGCTGTGAAGTGTGTAAACCTGGCGATTCATAGACCTGTACCCCTGGGGATAAAAATACATTATATGTTTATTTAAAAAGTAAAAAAAAAAAAAAAAATTTAATTAAAAAGAAATGTAAAATTCAAGGTTGGGGAGTTTATTTTAGAAATACATCCCACAAGGTCACTTAAATCCTGAAGTTGATTGTACTGAGCAACAAAAGGGTATTTAGTAAGATAAATCATTGACTGATCATTGAGGTCTTTGCACAACATTTTTTAAGTTCTATGCATTCTTGAGGGCTAGAAAAAAATCTGTTCCAAATTTCTAAGAAAATAGAAGATTAATATCTTTAAGGATTATAATGTTAATGTTAAAATACTATTTTTACATTAACAGAAATTATATGCAAGTGGCTAGGCTCTAGGGCAAGTCATCTTGTCCTGTCTTTGATATCAGAATTTTGGTATCAGGATTTTGGTATCACAGTATCAATTCTGCCTTTCTAAGGAAATCCTTAGACAGTCTTTATTATGGTATGCTTTGGGTGACATCACTTAGTTTTGTTTTGTTTTTTTCATATTACTTATATGTTGTTTTACTTCCCTTGCTTCTTTTGATTTTTTACCTTCATGGTAGGGTCAAGTATTGATAACTTTATACATTCACTGAGGCAACAGAACATAGCTTTGGAAGTGGATGCCTTTGGAACCAGAAGTGGCCCAAACGAGCCATCATACAATGGTGCTATCACTGTGTCAGGTGATGACAAGGTATGTTGGGCTCTGATTTTGCATCTTACCAATGATGGGGTACAAGGGCCATTTGAGTAATACCTAACAACAGACATAAAAGGTCAGTTTAACACAAACAGATGGGATATCTCTCATTTGTGAGTGTAAATATTTGCCCATAACCTCCATTATAACAAGATAGAATTAAATGTCATTTGTTTTTATTCCTTATTAAATTATTTGCACTATTATTAACAATGAATTTAAACCTTATTATCAATTCTATTCCATTCTAATAATGAATTTAAATCTTATTCTCAACTGGATTTTAACTCAAATGACTCTTTGATGAATCATCTAAGAATAAGTCTGATTAATATCTATTACGAACTTCAGCTCCATTACCAGAAAAAAAGTTTTTAATTTTTTTACAGTAGATTTTTTTATATTTCTTATGGGGAAAAAAGTTCATGTCTTAGCAGTAAACTCTACACAAATGGGTCAAATCTTTAGATAAATATTTATCTTCAGCTATCTGATATTAAAAACTTTGTTTCCTACAACTTGCAGTTCATGAATCAACAACAGTGGATCCCCTAAGAGTTTGTTAGAAATGCAGATTCTCAACTAGTGAATCGTTGAACACTACATCAAAAACTAATGATGTATGATATGTTGGCTAATTGAACCTAGTAATAATAAAATTAATCAATCAATTAATCAATTAATTAAAATTACATGTCAGATGTTGGAAAAAGAAAAAGAAAGAAAGAAAAGAAATGCAGACTCTCCACTCCCACTCCAGACCTACTGAGTAACAGCACTTGAATAAAATCTGCAGAATCCTATGCTCACCAAAGTTTGAGAAGGGAATGTCTTATTTAGCAATATTTAAGATTGGTGTATTTCTAATGAAAATTTACTTTCTGCTTCTCTTAAAAATTCCTTCCATGTGCTGATTCTGGCAGTCTGCAGCTGGAATTGAGAAACAGTTGCCCAGTTTAGAGCTGGACTAAACTTGCTTTAGACCTGGTCTTGCCAACTTGCTCTAACCCTACGCTGCTTCACCCATGTATGTGATCTACCTAGGCCCCATGGGAGTATGGGGAGAGATCCCTGTGGTAGACAAATGAAAAAAGATGGCAAAACAGTGTTATATGTGGGGCGCCTGGGTGGCTCAGTGGGTTAAAGCCTCTGCCTTCGGCTCAGGTCATGATCTCAGGGTCCTGGGATCGAGCCCCACCTCGGGCTCTCTGCTGAGCAGGGAGCCTGTTTCCCCTCTCTGTCTCTGCCTGCCTGTCTGCCTACTTGTGATCTGTCAAATAAATAAATAAAATCTTAAAAATAAAAAATAGTGTTATATGTGTAAACCACTGTAGGTAAGTGTTGCAAAGCTTGACCATTTGCAACTTATCATAGTTTTCAGAAGTAATTTCTGTGCCCATGATAAAATTAGAAATTACTTTTGATCAAACTCGTCCTTGGGTATGTTGTAAGCAGGTTAGTTTCTGGTGTGCTCAGAAAAATAGTTATTAAAAAATGGCATTCTTGGGGTGCCTGGGTGGCTCAGTGGGTTAAAGCCTCTGCCTTCGGCTCAGGTCATGATCCCAGGGTCCTGGAATTGAGCCCCGCATCAGGCTCTCTGCTCAGCGGGAAGCCTGCTTCTGCCTCTCTCTCTCTCTGCCTGCCTCTCAGCCTACTTGTGATCTCTGTCTGTCAAATAAATAAATAAAATCTTTTAAAAAAATGGCATTCTTAAGATCAATAAGCATTGCTTTAAGTAATTAGATTAGCTACAATCCATGTGATTTTTTTGTGATTGAAAAAATAATAACTTTTATTCTTTTTATTTGGGCAAGAAGTAATCATGGTGTACATATCTATCTATATATCATTTATGATATATGTGTGTATACGTATATATAGAGAGAGGTAACGTTTTTTACTGTATGTTTTCCCCCAGCTTTATTAAGATACAATTGACATACATCACTATAAGTTTAAGATGTACAGCATAATGACTTGACTTACATATACTGTGAAGTGATTTTAAAATGCCATTTTAAAGGAGATTATTTTTAAAAGATTTTTATTTATTTATTTGACAGAGAGAGAGATCACAAGTAGGCAGAGAGGCAGGCAGAGAGAGAGGGGGAAGCAGGCTCCCTGCTTAGCAGAGAGCCCAATGCGGGGCTTGATCCCAGGACCCTGAGATCATGACCTGAGCTAAAGGCAGAGGCTTAACCCACTGAGCCACCCAGGTGCCCATTAAAGGAGATTTTTACACGCAGCATTGCTCCTACAAGCTCAGTATTTGTGAAAACCTATGCTTTCATTACAGTAGCTGCCTGCTCTCTGCTTCTAAGTATCCACACATTCTTAATTTATAAAACGCATGTATCGCATTTTGAAAGGAAGCCTATGGCCATGTTACAGAGACATTGCTTTGTGAGTTTTATGGTATTGCTGCTAAAAGTCATCTGAGGCATTTCATTTTGTGACCATTTAGGCATAAAGAGCCACCTGTCCGCTGCTATGGTCAGTAAAGAGCAAAATACTGAATTCCTTGCTGTATATCGGGAATTAATCAAATAATATGAGTGATGGTGATATTAATCACATTCAATGCTTTAGCCTTCCTGTTTTGTCAAAAATTCGAATGATTTTCTACCATATTCTTTCATTAAATTTTGCATTTGCTTCCTGAGGGCTTAGAATGCACATTTATTATATTTTAGGATCACAGATTCTCAATAGCATGTAATACCAAAAGGCTGAATTGCTTTCCTGTCCTCATGGATATCATCAGCAATGGGCTACTTGGAATTCTTAATTCTTCAGAACGCATTCAGACTGATAGAAGCACATATTTCGAAGTAAGTATAATTTTTCAGAGTGGGGAGGGGCAAAGGGAGAGGGTTAGAGAGAATCTTAAGCAGGTTCCACGCCCAGCTTGGGCTCAATGCAGGGCTCGATCCCACAACTGAGATCATGACCTGAGCCAATTCAAGAGTCAGATGCTTAACTGACTGTACCACCCAGGTGCACCTGAAGTCAATATGATATTATCTCACTTATCCTGAACTTTAAGTTTTCAAGAAGACACTTGAAGTGCAGAAGTAACTTGTGAACTTGTTCTTGAATGTGTTATGTTTTACACACATGTTGTTTACATTTACAGGTTGATACACACACACATATATACATAGACACATTATCTAGCGATGATTATGTAACATTATAACCTGGATTGGATGACTTGGGGTCAGTGGAAGAGTAGAAAAGACAAATAGTTGGGGAAAAAGAACTGATAGCTTCTTAGATCTGTCACCACCTGTGGCAGTAGGTAATGGGACCTCACTGAAACAGCCAGAGTCTTAAAGGCCAGACAAGTGGCTGTCTCAACAACTTGACCTTCTATAGCTCTTGGTTCAGCAATCCACAAGGAAAATAAATACAGATGAAAACGTCATCACAAAGTTTTCCTAAGACGTAAATAAGGCAATGTGAGCACAAGGTGCAGTTGACTGAGTTAAAGAGGAGCAGGACGGCACATAAGCATAGGAAACAACAGGCACCCAATAAATTGCTCTCATTATCACTATTGTGTTATTTTTCTTGGGAGTACACTGGGTTTCCATTAAAGGTTCAGCTTTGACTAGATCAGCAAGATGGGCTAAAATTGGACTAGAAGCAGTTCTTATTTAAAATGTAGTTTACCAGGCCTGCTCATATCTGGAGTCAGAATCTTCTCAGTGGGGGGAGGGCATGCATCTCCATCATGGCGCCATCTTGAATCTCCCTTCGCCATCTTGAAGTGACACCGTAGGCATCCTCTACAGCTCCCTGGTCACTCATTGTTATTAAGAATTATTCCAGTGCTGTCCAAAACTTCAATTTCCTATCCAATTCAAACACCACAGGGTCAGTTTGTGGCCTTACAGCGGGGGTGAAGTGGGTGGGTGGGCAGTGGTGGGTTTTGCCCTTTTCCCTCTTTTCTAGTCTAACATCTTGGAGTGAAAAGGAGAGAGTGACCTTGCTCTGGACTCCCCACCCCTTTTTTTCTCCACTGCTGGGGCTGGAAGCAGAGAGGAAAGATGGAGAGATTAAGATAGGAAGAAATGGTGCTCTGGAGACATCCTGCTTTCTCTAGTTGTATCTGCTCCCTGTAGCTTCTATGTACATGGCCACCACAGCCTAGGTGACCTGTGTGATTGTCTTGGGTAGTGTTTAGCTTTGACCTCAGTTCCTTGTGTAGATGAAGATGAACTTGATGATGCTGAGCAGAATTTCCCTTTGATAGCTATGGAGAGGTCCTCACTGTCAAACTCTCCCCTTTCCCTTGTGCATTGCTTGATGTGGCCATCATGCAGGCAGTTAACAACTTCCACCCCTGCCTTAACCTCCATGCCTCTTCAGAAGGAACTGTGAGAACTGTTGAGTGCCTCTTGCATGCTGTTGGGAAGCTACAGAGATTTGGGGTGAGGTGGGGGGCTGTCCCACATTCTTCATAGCACCAATTCACCTATTTGAATGACTTAGTTAAAATTAAGCACAAATGAACTGTGTGTGCAATTGCCAGCAGCTCATGTGTTCTGCATGATTTCAGGAGCACATGTCTTATGAGCATGGGTACCTGAGTAACTCCTTCTTCTGGATCCCGGTGGCAGCCTGTTTCACTCCGTACATTGCGATGAGCAGCGTCGGTGACTATAAGGTAAGGAGATTTAACAAAGTCCTTGCATATTCTTATTACTCAGAGACCCCTTCTCTGCTCTATGACTGTACATTTAGAGTACAGTACATTTGGAGGGAGGGACACTCCAAATTTACGTGCTTGAAACAATGTGTCATCCGGTTAGATACAACAAGTTTTAAGGGACTTGGAGATGGAAAATATTCAAGATATTCTTGCTCAAAATTTAAGTGGTGGACAAAAAAGGAAACTAACTTTTGGGATTGCCATTTTAGGAGACCCTCAGGTAAGTCAAGCCAAAATTACTGGTGAATGAGATTGAGGACTGTGGAACTATTGTATTCCATCAGACTGAATTTGCAAATGGTGAATGTAAAAGAACTGTTCAAATGAAAAATTAAATAGTAAGCTATTTCTCCCAAACACTTTTACACATATATTGCTTTTTTTATTTTTTATTATTTTTCTTTTTGCCAAGAATGGAGTGTTTTTTTTTTTTAAATCAACATATATGTATTTGCCCCAGGGGTACAGGTCTGTGAATCATCAGCACTCACATTTCACAGCACTCAACATAGCACATATCCTCCTCAATGTCCATAACCCAGCCACCCTATTCCTCCCCCTCACCCCCAGCAACCCCAGTAACCCTCAGTTTGTTTCCTGAGAGTAGGAGTATCTTAGGGTTTGTCTGCCTTCCTGGTCCCATCTTGTTTCATTTTTCCCTCCCTTTCCCCCAAAACCCCCTGCCCTGCCTCTCAAATTCCTTATATCAGAGATCATATGATAATTGTCTTTCTCTGATTGACTTATTTCGCTTAGCATAATACCCTCTAGTTCCATATTGCTTTAAAAAAAAAACAAACTGACCTGAAAGGGGAAAATGATTTTATGTTTCCCTACTGTGCAGGTTTTGCTGTTGGATGAACCAACTGCTGGGTCAGATCCTCTTTCAAGGCACCGTGTATGGAACCTCCTAAAAGAGAGGAAATCCAATAGAGTCATTCTCTTCAGTACGCAGTTCATGGATGAGGCTGACATCCTGGCTGGTGATATTCTTTTTTTTTTTTTTTTTTTTTTTTTTTTTAGATTCCACATATAAGTGAGATTATACAGTATTTGTCTTTTGCTTTCTCTGATTTCTCTCACTTAGCCTAATGCCTTCAAGTTCCATCCATGTCCTTTCATGGTGGTTCTTGGTTTTCTCTTGTATCTTGGTGGAGAAATTAAGGATGTGGGTGAAATATGTGTAGATAAGTTTCAACACAGCTACTCTGTGTGTGTGTGTGTGTGTGTGTGTATAGGAGATTCTTGCTGTCATCCATTTGAATGTCCACATCTCCACGTACATTGTCCCACAAATGTATTCTGATCTTATTGCAAAGAACTCATTGGTTATAAATATATAGCATACTCTTCAAATATATATATGTTTTATTCATTAGGAAAGTCAGTTGGCTTGAAATAGATCCTTCCATTGTATGATAATTTTTCTGAACATACAAGAGAATAAACTAACATAACATTTTAGTTATTGGATAATGAGGAAATTGGCTTACATAAGACCAGAATTAGAATGCAAATATTTTAGTGGATCATGCTCCTAAAATATACTATTAATGGATTTGTTCTTTTATAAACAATGAGAGAATAACCTCTTAATGCGATGCATTGTTTTTCTTTTCTGCTTAGACAGGAAGGTGTTTATATCCAAGGGGAGACTGAAGTGTGCAGGCTCTTCTCTATTCCTGAAGAAGAAATGGGGCATTGGCTACCATTTAAGGTACAACCTGTATTGTTGGAGACATGTTAGAACACGTTGCAGACAGGAGATCTCAGTATTAGTACGTTATTAATCATTAATATGTCAGTATTAGTATGTAAGCTACAGAATTATTAAGTTCCTTTCAAGAGTGCTACGTTAGAATGACACCACACTGCTCTCTTTCTTAGCTAGTATGAAGGGCAGGTGGGATTGTAGACATGGAGACTACATGTCTTTAGTTTAGTTTAAACTAAATTTAAACAACATTTTTGGAAAATAGTTTCACAACACATTGTTTGCAGTGAGAAATGTAGTGACATTCCCAACCTCTCTCATCATTTTTCCAACGCTTCCTTTTTGTTCATCACGACAATGTCAAGTCTCTCTGTTCTCCCTGATTTCATAGTCTCCCTCATTCTTTTCTATCTCTTTCTCTTCCTGATAATAATGAATATCATTATTAATCATTATTATTATTACTGTTGTTATGTTATTAAGTAATGTCTATCACTTATTCCATGTTGGCTATGCTCTATATTCTTGCTAGGATATTTACATGTGGAATACTCATATAATTTATTTAATCCTTCAAATAACTGTAAGAAGATGGTACTATTGGCCTCTGACATGTCAGGGAGTTTTAGTAATAGACCCAATCTCCCATTATTTAAAGTGGTAGAATCTTTGGGCCAAGATTACAGGTGTGATATGAATCTCTCCCTGTAATTCCTGCTAAAATATTAGTATTTCTTAAAAAATAATTTAGTCACTTTATCCTCAGAATTTAAAGGTATACCCTATATTGTGTACTGAGGGTTTAATCTGATCAAATCTATCACTCCATCATGATTACTTGGTACAATCTAATCGAATCAATACCTTCCAACTAAAATGAACCACTCACTGTTTTCTATGTTCCATGATTTAATTGTCTTCTCTCTGCTCAAGGTAGGACATCTGTTTGACATGTCCTCCTCCAACCCATTTTAACCAAGTTCAAATCTTGTCCATCCTTAAAGGTCTTTTCTGAATATTTTCTCCTTAATAACCATCCTCTTTTCTGGAACCTGGGAAGCACTATTTTGAATTGTTACCTCAGGCAAATTAATTAACCTTTGATCCTCAGTAATTTTATTTATATAATTGTGGTAATGATACCCACATTGCAGTTAAAGCTAAAAATATTGAATGAATGAATATTTGACAAGGTGCCAAGTGCTTAACTGACTTAAACTTCCCTCTCTCACACTTCTTCCATAATATGCTGCTTTATATTACTGCTACATTCCAAGCTCCTCTAGGGAAGGTTCTGCATTCTTTCTGTTTGGGATCCAGGATCATGTATTACATGGGGCCTTGTAAACACAGAATAGTTTTACCTAAAATTGATTTTTTAAAGTTGTGTGATCAAAGAGATATCTTCATCATTTGATAGCCTCAGTAAATTTTGATGGATGTGACTAATAATGGTGCTTCTAAAATCCAATGATTTCATGAAGAACTTTACATGTTTTCACTAAGAAGACAGATCATCTTTGAGTTGAATAAACTTTGGACCAAAAAATGATAAAATTAGCTAACATATATGGAGGGTTTGCTTGGTGCAAGGCTCTGTGTGATCACATGCATACTTTATTTTATTCTGTCTTTTGAATTTCTTTGAGAGCTGAGTATTAGAACATTGATTGGAATTTTGATGGAAAATTGATGCTGGAAGACTAACTAAACCTAAGTTCAGGAACATGGATCAGTGGGACATTAGGACCATGATCTTAATGACTCTATCAAGTTACTCCTGGGTCTGTGTTCACCATGTTCAAGTTTTAGTTTTTGTAAAACCCATACTTTATTGTAAAAGGGAAATTGAATCTGAGCTTTTGGATAGATGGATTGAAAATCAGGCATTTCCTCTACCTCACTCCAGCCAACATCTAGCTGAATATCTCTTCCCTCCAAATAATAATACTTGAGTTATTACCCCTTACATTAGTGCCTCTAGATTATATAGTTTGGACTATATTTGGACTATTTAGTATGTCTTGCTTCTTCCATTTCTCTCTCTCTCTCTCTCTCTCTCTCTATATATATATATATATATATATATATATAAATATAATCATCTCATAAATATTAATGAAGTGACAAACCTACTACAATTGTTTGTAGAGATGGTGTTGGATAAAAAATAGCTTTAACATGCTCTTTTTAAATGTCAGTTTGCATCTAAATGAAATGTGTGATCCAGACAGTATAACATCACTCGTTAAACAACACATCCCTGATGCCAAATTAAGGGCACAGAGTGAAGAAAAGCTTGTATATATTTTGCCTTTGGAGAGGACAAACAAATTTCCAGGTAACAGAATATAGAGACCACAGAATGATTTATAACAATGTTACTAACAATAACAGTTGTCTTAAGAATGATGGCTGACACTTTTATGCTTGCTAAGTGCATGGCAGTGTGCATAACTTTTTGATGTTCCCCAGAGTTACTGCTAGTATTAGCTCCTGATATTATCCCCAAATCACTTATGAGTAAACTGAGGCAAAAGATGCCAAATATGCTTCAAGTGGCAACCTAGACAGTTAAGAGGTATAGGACCACATCAAGCTAAAATTAGGAATATTTGGAACATTTGTTTCAGGAATGAATGAGAGAGCCTGGTCCGGGCAAGGAGGGGTCTGTGAAAACAGCATGGAGTATTAAATGGGAGTTGAGGGAATGGTACACCACCACATGTAGATGGTTTTATTATAAACACCATGACATAATATTGTAATCCAAGTAACCGAATAGTAACTACAATCAAACCATATGTAGCCAAACTTCTAAACTTACAATTTTGCTGCGAATACAGAAGCCTGGAGGCTCAGTGCCATCCACTTTTCTAGCTCGTCTCTCAATATGCTTTCATTTGCCAAGAGTTTTGAGGTAGATGGCATTTAAAAAAAAAGTATGACCATAAAATGTGTTTACTTTGAGATCAAGGAATGTGCCAGCTTTTAATGGATGCTAATGGCTCCGTGGCTTTCTGCTTGAATGAATAAACCTGCCATAATCATGGTTCATAAGGAAATACAGCACTAGACAGTAGCACGTTCTCATTGAAAGCTGGGATAATAGAGCCAGACTGGGTAGGTTCAAATCCCAGCAAGGCAGTTATGAGCTCCATTATCCTGGACAAATTATATTACTTTTCTGTACTTTAGTTTCCCTATTTGTAACAAAGGGATAATGATAGTACTAACTTTATAGGATTTTCATGAGGATTAAATGATTTAATATATTTAAATATATTATTAAAATATTAAAAATAAGCACAGCACCTAGAATCATAACTGACATAGAAGTTATAGTATTTCTTCAAGTCTAAGACAGCCTCAGCTGTAAGATGTGAAATAGAAAGAAATGGTGCCACCATTTACAATGACATACCAACATTTGGGATACATGCTCATTTCAAATACGGTAAAAGATGATGAAATGTATTTATCTTAGAATCAGTGAAGTAACTGTAGTCCTAGATGTGTGCACCATGTCTTTGATATACATATACGTATGGAAACAGAAATCTTTATGAAACCCACAAAACAAAGTGTTAAATGTTTATTTGTTAAATGCATTTCAGAGGGGAATGCACAATTTTAAAAAAGACTGAAAAAGAACCAACACTTAGAACTCATTAGAAATTGTGACTACTTCTGTATTTTTATTTATCTAACACACTTTTAAGATAGATACCTTTAATTTCTCCCAATATTTGAATTAGTTCATCCTTTATTCTACTTCAAATTTTCCTGAACTGCCCCCAAATTATGCCCAGTATCTTTAAGAAAACAAAAAACAAAAACAACCCTCAAAATGGCCTACTAATCCTTATAAAGACATATCTTCTTTTTAAAAAATTTTTTGCAGCATGATGTCTCTTTTATTTTTTTATTTAAATTCAATTAATTAACATATAGTGTATTATTAGTTTCAGAAGTAGAGTTCAGTGATTCATCATTCTTATATAACACCCAGTGTTCATTACATCACTTGTCCTCCTTAATGCCCATCACCCAGTTACCCCATTCCCCAACGCCCCCGGGAATCCTCAGTGTGTCTCCTATAGTTAAGAGTCTCTTATGTTTTGTCTCTCAAATCCTACCTTCTTTGAAGGCTCTTGTGTAATCTTCATACCATGGTCAGAAGCTGGAAAAAAGAGAGTAATTGCAAAGTTACATGCATACTTTGTTCTTTCCTTTAACTTATATATTTCTCTAAAATAGGGAAGATTGTGAAGCACCTAATTATTTCTATAAACATTAGTTCTTTTGCATTTGTATTCTATTGCTCTTATTCCTAAGAGCATTCTTACATTCTTATATTCCTGAATGAATGGGGTTTTAGAATTTAATATTTCCTACCTTAGGCATTCATAGGTGCTATAGCACGTACTGTAGACTGGGGGTCTTACAAACAGTAGACATTGATTTTTTGATGGTTCTGTATGCTGGAAAGTCCAAGATCTGGGTTCCAGCGCCTTTGGGTTCTCATGAGATACCCCTTTGAAGTTGCAGAATGCAGACTTCTCCTGGTCTTCCCATATGGCAGGGAGCAGGGAGAGGAAGCCAGATTTCTTGTGACTCTTTCAAAGGTATTAATCCCATTAATGAAAGCTCCACTCTCAGGACCTCATCTAACACTAATTATCTCCCAAAGCCCCCACCTCCTAATACCATCACACCAGAGGGTAGGGTTTCAACATACAGATTTAAGGGGATTTATGGGAGACCACAAGCATTCAGTTCATTTATTACATTCCCCATTATCAAACAGATTAATTTTTTTAAAGATTTTATTTATTTATTTGTCAGAGAGAGAGAGAGAGAGAGAGTACACACAAGCAGGCATAGTGGCAGGCAGAGGCAGAGGGAGAAGCAGGCTCTCTGCCGAACAAGGAGCCCAATGCAGGACTTGATCCCAGGACCCTGGGATCATGACCTGAGCCGAAGGCAGTGGCTTAACCAACTAAGCCACCCAGGCATCCCCAGAATTAATTTTTTAAAACAGAATAAATAAAACATAATATTTCTTAATGAACTCAGCATATGTAGCTTTCCAAGAATGAAACATAGATGATTACAATTTTATACTCAAGACATGGAAACATACTGTATAGGTTATTTTAGAAAGAAGGGAATGTCTATATCATAGCTTTGTTTCTTATGAATGCTTTTGGGCTATCACACATGTTATCTATTGTTGAAAAATGTAGTTACTTAATATCATTACAAATTATATTCTTCTAATGCATTTCTGTGACTACTTTTAGATCTTTACAGGGACCTTGATAGATGCTCTAACCAAGGCATTGAGAATTATGGCGTTTCCATGACAACTTTGAATGAAGTGTTCTTGAAATTAGAAGGAAAATCAGCTATTGATGAATCAGGTAAAAAAAAAAAAAGAACAAAAAAGAAACTTCAATTTTACCTTTCTGTAGAATATTCTATCTTGAAAATATAGATGAGGTTGTATGTTTTGGGAGGTGCTCTGATTCAGTCTGGTCTTGGGAATTCTTAGAGCAGAGAAGAGATGTATTTCTGTCTCTTTCCTTTTCTCCCAATGCTGGACCCCCCTCTTAAATTCCTTATTTTGTAGTATGCATTTTACTAAGGGTGTGGGATATGGCAGTGCACAAGATTAGGTCCTCATGGAGTAGACAATAAATATGTAAGTGCTATAGAGAGAAGGAAATTAGAATTGTATGTTGACAGTTAACCTTTCTTGTAACATTTTGAGGATATAGTCTCAATGTCTTCAGGATTCCATTGTTGTTATGAGAAGATTTGCTGTCAGTATTTTTTTGAGTATTTTTTTATTGGTTGAGTGGGTTTTTAAAAATACCTCTTTCTCTCTTTTCCCCACTGTTGAAGTTACATACTTGTGGTTATGCTTAACTTTTAGTATACATATATTAGAGCTTTCTAAAAGTCTAGAGCTGATCAGTTTCTCTAGGCATGTCTTCCAAAAGAAGTAACCTTTTTCTTGTCTTCAAGAAATGGCTACATGAAAAAAATATTGTCTCTACCAATTTTATATCCTTATATCCTTAAAATATACCAATTTTAAGAGGATAGGGAGGGTTCTATATATACTGACTTTTCTCCCTTAGTCAGAAATACTGATAGTTTATCTTTTGCAATGAGTATATTTTTCTAAGCTAAATATGGGTTTCTTTTCATTGACTTTCCGAGAGTGAATTAAGTCCTTAAGGCTATAGACCCAAACCTTTTTAAAAAGAAAAAACAATATTTCTTTTATTATGTCATTAGTTTTTCTTCTTGTATTATGCTTTTTTTTTTTTTTGCTTTGTTTCCTTTACTTTAGCTGTTACTCTCGTAATGCCATGAATTCATTTATTAGCATCTCCTTGCCCAAGATTCTCTTCTCCAATACCACTTGGTGGAAAGGCGGTCATCGAGAAATCTAAGTAATATGCATCTAAAATGACACCTTATAAATTATCAATTTTATGTTTTATAGATGCTGGAATTTGGGGAGAGTTACGAAGTAATAGGAGAAAAGACACAGGAAGCCTTGTTGAGCTGGAACAAGTTTTGTCTTCCTTTAAGGAAACAAAGAAATCCATGCGTGGCATGGCTCTCTGGAGACAACAGCTCTCTGCAGTAGCAAAAGTTCGCTTCCTCAAGTTAAAGAATGAAAAAAAAACCCTGTTGACCATGTGAGTACCCAGGTATTTCAGATATGTTGGGTCAGTACTCTCGAAATAAATTCAAGGGGAAAAAACAAACACACCTCTGAAATACAGCACAGCAATTGCATGTGGTCATTTTTTTTTTTAACCCAGAAAATAATTTCTAATTGCTTGGGTGGGTATATAACTAAACCTGGTAAAGCTTGGGCTTTTTCTTTTAATTCCACACAGAATCTGCTCTTATCCAAGAGTTGAAATCGTTTTTCTGAAGCATGGAAGTTAGCACTCGGGTCCCATCCCCAGAACTTTCTTTTTGCCCAAAGAGCTCTGTGCCAGGCGGTATCTGAGCCTGTATCCGTCCTCGGGAACCTGCTTCATGGTTCACACATTTCCCTTTAGCTTTGGGTCCTTCATGAAGCAGTACCTCCTTGCAAAAACCCTGATCTCCAGCCAGGACTCATTCATTAAAAAATACTTGCTAGCACTTCTGCCTAACACTCTATGTTAAATATCTGTAACACTTACCAATATAAATCAGACATGAGATTTGGCTCATGAAGGTGATTAGAAGTATACTAAAAACCATATTGTCAACCAGAACATTCAGTATGCAAAAGATTAGGTTCCAATATGGGCATCAGAAAAATCATCTTGTGATTTTTTTTTTTTGTGAGAAATGGAGTCTGGTGTAGGAAAATGTAACAGTTAACCAGGAAGCCTGATGTGGGGCTTGATCCCAGGATCCTGAGATCATGACCTAAGCCAAAGGCAGAGGCTTAACCCACTGAGGCACCCAGGCACCCCTAAAAAATAATTTTCATAATGTATTACATACAGCTGAACAGTTTGGGCTTTGTGACTAGAAAGGAAGTATTGAAAATTTTTTTATTTGAAAAGATGATTGACATAATTAGCACAGATTGCTAGGTGGGGAACTGTGGGTGGCTCAGCCAGCTGGGCATCCGACTCCGGATTTAGCTCAGGTCATGATCTCAAGGTCATGAGATTCCTCCCTGTGTTAGACACTGCCCTCAGAAGGGAGTCTGCTTGGGGATTTCTCTCTCTCTTCCTCTGTCCCTCCCCTCATTCTTGCTCATTCTCAATCTCTCTCTAAAACAAAAAAAATAAACAGATTGCCAAATTGCACTTAATTGGGCAACAGTGCAAAATTGGCTTGGAAATAGTAGACTCTAGAGACCGGGAAAACAGTCATTGAGGACAATATTGAAAGAGGTCAGGAGAGAGATAATTAAGGTCCAAACTTAGAAAGTGGAAGACAAAAGGCTTTTAGGCACCTAATAATGATGATATGATAGAAATTTTCAGCTATTCAGAAAAGGGACTTAAAGGAGACAGATTAGTGGAAAATGGCCCTTGGAACTTGAATAAATGAGAAAATGTTGTAATTTATACAAATTGGAAACAGGAAGGGAAAATGCTTGAGTGGCATGCCAGTGTGCAGTGGTCTAGAAAAAGGAAGAAATGCAAGATGGAAACAGAGGAAAGAAGTGGGAATTGGAGAGAGATTTGAGTCCTACCCAGCCAACCTCATGAACTTGAGTGACATGTCCAAAATGGGCAGGGCAGGGGAGTGGGGGAGAGCCATTAGAGAGATAGAAAGACCAAGCATAGATATGTAGGAACCATTTCATTTCAGAAAAAAGAAACAAGGGGTGGGGTGGGGGCGGGGAGAAGCATGATTCTTATATTTGCTTAGTGTTTAGAATTTATTTCTATTTTAATATCCATTATCTACTCAAACTTAAAAATCTATAAACGTTGCTATAGATGAATTTTTTTTTCCTTTTACATTTTCTTCCATGTAGATTATTGCTTCTTGGTATCAGCTTTTGCCCTCAGCTTTTAGAGCATCTATTCTATGAGTTATATCAAAAAAGTTATTCTTGGGGACTAGCTCCTGATATGTACTTCCTCTCACCGGGACAACTGCCTCAAGCTCCTCTGACCCACTTACTGGTCATCAATAAAACAGGTAAACATGAAGCAAATGTAATTTTCCAGCTTTGTTCTTCTTGAGAGTTTCCCCAGACAACATAAACCATGAGGGGGTAGAAAAAATTCTGCATGTTTTAGATCACCTATGAGGCCAAATAGGAAATTAATTTAAAAAAATGAAAAATGTGGGATTATGGACATTGGGGAGGGTATGTGCTATGGTGAGTGCTGTGAAGTGTGTAAACCTGGCGATTCACAGACCTGTACCCCTGGGGATAAAAAGATATTATATGTTTAAAAAAAATAAAACTTAAAAAAAAAAAATGAAAAATTAATGGGATTGGGAGGGAGACAAACCATAAGTGACTCTTAATCTCACAAAACAAACTGAGGGTTGCTGGGGGTCGGGGGGTCGGGAGAGGGGGTGGGGTTATGGACATTGGGGAGGGTATGTGCTATGGTGCGTGCTGTGAAGTGTGTAAACCTGGCGATTCATAGACCTGTACCCCTGGGGATAAAAATACATTATATGTTTATTTAAAAAGTAAAAAAAAAAAAAAAAATTTAATTAAAAAGAAATGTAAAATTCAAGGTTGGGGAGTTTATTTTAGAAATACATCCCACAAGGTCACTTAAATCCTGAAGTTGATTGTACTGAGCAACAAAAGGGTATTTAGTAAGATAAATCATTGACTGATCATTGAGGTCTTTGCACAACATTTTTTAAGTTCTATGCATTCTTGAGGGCTAGAAAAAAATCTGTTCCAAATTTCTAAGAAAATAGAAGATTAATATCTTTAAGGATTATAATGTTAATGTTAAAATACTATTTTTACATTAACAGAAATTATATGCAAGTGGCTAGGCTCTAGGGCAAGTCATCTTGTCCTGTCTTTGATATCAGAATTTTGGTATCAGGATTTTGGTATCACAGTATCAATTCTGCCTTTCTAAGGAAATCCTTAGACAGTCTTTATTATGGTATGCTTTGGGTGACATCACTTAGTTTTGTTTTGTTTTTTTCATATTACTTATATGTTGTTTTACTTCCCTTGCTTCTTTTGATTTTTTACCTTCATGGTAGGGTCAAGTATTGATAACTTTATACATTCACTGAGGCAACAGAACATAGCTTTGGAAGTGGATGCCTTTGGAACCAGAAGTGGCCCAAACGAGCCATCATACAATGGTGCTATCACTGTGTCAGGTGATGACAAGGTATGTTGGGCTCTGATTTTGCATCTTACCAATGATGGGGTACAAGGGCCATTTGAGTAATACCTAACAACAGACATAAAAGGTCAGTTTAACACAAACAGATGGGATATCTCTCATTTGTGAGTGTAAATATTTGCCCATAACCTCCATTATAACAAGATAGAATTAAATGTCATTTGTTTTTATTCCTTATTAAATTATTTGCACTATTATTAACAATGAATTTAAACCTTATTATCAATTCTATTCCATTCTAATAATGAATTTAAATCTTATTCTCAACTGGATTTTAACTCAAATGACTCTTTGATGAATCATCTAAGAATAAGTCTGATTAATATCTATTACGAACTTCAGCTCCATTACCAGAAAAAAAGTTTTTAATTTTTTTACAGTAGATTTTTTTATATTTCTTATGGGGAAAAAAGTTCATGTCTTAGCAGTAAACTCTACACAAATGGGTCAAATCTTTAGATAAATATTTATCTTCAGCTATCTGATATTAAAAACTTTGTTTCCTACAACTTGCAGTTCATGAATCAACAACAGTGGATCCCCTAAGAGTTTGTTAGAAATGCAGATTCTCAACTAGTGAATCGTTGAACACTACATCAAAAACTAATGATGTATGATATGTTGGCTAATTGAACCTAGTAATAATAAAATTAATCAATCAATTAATCAATTAATTAAAATTACATGTCAGATGTTGGAAAAAGAAAAAGAAAGAAAGAAAAGAAATGCAGACTCTCCACTCCCACTCCAGACCTACTGAGTAACAGCACTTGAATAAAATCTGCAGAATCCTATGCTCACCAAAGTTTGAGAAGGGAATGTCTTATTTAGCAATATTTAAGATTGGTGTATTTCTAATGAAAATTTACTTTCTGCTTCTCTTAAAAATTCCTTCCATGTGCTGATTCTGGCAGTCTGCAGCTGGAATTGAGAAACAGTTGCCCAGTTTAGAGCTGGACTAAACTTGCTTTAGACCTGGTCTTGCCAACTTGCTCTAACCCTACGCTGCTTCACCCATGTATGTGATCTACCTAGGCCCCATGGGAGTATGGGGAGAGATCCCTGTGGTAGACAAATGAAAAAAGATGGCAAAACAGTGTTATATGTGGGGCGCCTGGGTGGCTCAGTGGGTTAAAGCCTCTGCCTTCGGCTCAGGTCATGATCTCAGGGTCCTGGGATCGAGCCCCACCTCGGGCTCTCTGCTGAGCAGGGAGCCTGTTTCCCCTCTCTGTCTCTGCCTGCCTGTCTGCCTACTTGTGATCTGTCAAATAAATAAATAAAATCTTAAAAATAAAAAATAGTGTTATATGTGTAAACCACTGTAGGTAAGTGTTGCAAAGCTTGACCATTTGCAACTTATCATAGTTTTCAGAAGTAATTTCTGTGCCCATGATAAAATTAGAAATTACTTTTGATCAAACTCGTCCTTGGGTATGTTGTAAGCAGGTTAGTTTCTGGTGTGCTCAGAAAAATAGTTATTAAAAAATGGCATTCTTGGGGTGCCTGGGTGGCTCAGTGGGTTAAAGCCTCTGCCTTCGGCTCAGGTCATGATCCCAGGGTCCTGGAATTGAGCCCCGCATCAGGCTCTCTGCTCAGCGGGAAGCCTGCTTCTGCCTCTCTCTCTCTCTGCCTGCCTCTCAGCCTACTTGTGATCTCTGTCTGTCAAATAAATAAATAAAATCTTTTAAAAAAATGGCATTCTTAAGATCAATAAGCATTGCTTTAAGTAATTAGATTAGCTACAATCCATGTGATTTTTTTGTGATTGAAAAAATAATAACTTTTATTCTTTTTATTTGGGCAAGAAGTAATCATGGTGTACATATCTATCTATATATCATTTATGATATATGTGTGTATACGTATATATAGAGAGAGGTAACGTTTTTTACTGTATGTTTTCCCCCAGCTTTATTAAGATACAATTGACATACATCACTATAAGTTTAAGATGTACAGCATAATGACTTGACTTACATATACTGTGAAGTGATTTTAAAATGCCATTTTAAAGGAGATTATTTTTAAAAGATTTTTATTTATTTATTTGACAGAGAGAGAGATCACAAGTAGGCAGAGAGGCAGGCAGAGAGAGAGGGGGAAGCAGGCTCCCTGCTTAGCAGAGAGCCCAATGCGGGGCTTGATCCCAGGACCCTGAGATCATGACCTGAGCTAAAGGCAGAGGCTTAACCCACTGAGCCACCCAGGTGCCCATTAAAGGAGATTTTTACACGCAGCATTGCTCCTACAAGCTCAGTATTTGTGAAAACCTATGCTTTCATTACAGTAGCTGCCTGCTCTCTGCTTCTAAGTATCCACACATTCTTAATTTATAAAACGCATGTATCGCATTTTGAAAGGAAGCCTATGGCCATGTTACAGAGACATTGCTTTGTGAGTTTTATGGTATTGCTGCTAAAAGTCATCTGAGGCATTTCATTTTGTGACCATTTAGGCATAAAGAGCCACCTGTCCGCTGCTATGGTCAGTAAAGAGCAAAATACTGAATTCCTTGCTGTATATCGGGAATTAATCAAATAATATGAGTGATGGTGATATTAATCACATTCAATGCTTTAGCCTTCCTGTTTTGTCAAAAATTCGAATGATTTTCTACCATATTCTTTCATTAAATTTTGCATTTGCTTCCTGAGGGCTTAGAATGCACATTTATTATATTTTAGGATCACAGATTCTCAATAGCATGTAATACCAAAAGGCTGAATTGCTTTCCTGTCCTCATGGATATCATCAGCAATGGGCTACTTGGAATTCTTAATTCTTCAGAACGCATTCAGACTGATAGAAGCACATATTTCGAAGTAAGTATAATTTTTCAGAGTGGGGAGGGGCAAAGGGAGAGGGTTAGAGAGAATCTTAAGCAGGTTCCACGCCCAGCTTGGGCTCAATGCAGGGCTCGATCCCACAACTGAGATCATGACCTGAGCCAATTCAAGAGTCAGATGCTTAACTGACTGTACCACCCAGGTGCACCTGAAGTCAATATGATATTATCTCACTTATCCTGAACTTTAAGTTTTCAAGAAGACACTTGAAGTGCAGAAGTAACTTGTGAACTTGTTCTTGAATGTGTTATGTTTTACACACATGTTGTTTACATTTACAGGTTGATACACACACACATATATACATAGACACATTATCTAGCGATGATTATGTAACATTATAACCTGGATTGGATGACTTGGGGTCAGTGGAAGAGTAGAAAAGACAAATAGTTGGGGAAAAAGAACTGATAGCTTCTTAGATCTGTCACCACCTGTGGCAGTAGGTAATGGGACCTCACTGAAACAGCCAGAGTCTTAAAGGCCAGACAAGTGGCTGTCTCAACAACTTGACCTTCTATAGCTCTTGGTTCAGCAATCCACAAGGAAAATAAATACAGATGAAAACGTCATCACAAAGTTTTCCTAAGACGTAAATAAGGCAATGTGAGCACAAGGTGCAGTTGACTGAGTTAAAGAGGAGCAGGACGGCACATAAGCATAGGAAACAACAGGCACCCAATAAATTGCTCTCATTATCACTATTGTGTTATTTTTCTTGGGAGTACACTGGGTTTCCATTAAAGGTTCAGCTTTGACTAGATCAGCAAGATGGGCTAAAATTGGACTAGAAGCAGTTCTTATTTAAAATGTAGTTTACCAGGCCTGCTCATATCTGGAGTCAGAATCTTCTCAGTGGGGGGAGGGCATGCATCTCCATCATGGCGCCATCTTGAATCTCCCTTCGCCATCTTGAAGTGACACCGTAGGCATCCTCTACAGCTCCCTGGTCACTCATTGTTATTAAGAATTATTCCAGTGCTGTCCAAAACTTCAATTTCCTATCCAATTCAAACACCACAGGGTCAGTTTGTGGCCTTACAGCGGGGGTGAAGTGGGTGGGTGGGCAGTGGTGGGTTTTGCCCTTTTCCCTCTTTTCTAGTCTAACATCTTGGAGTGAAAAGGAGAGAGTGACCTTGCTCTGGACTCCCCACCCCTTTTTTTCTCCACTGCTGGGGCTGGAAGCAGAGAGGAAAGATGGAGAGATTAAGATAGGAAGAAATGGTGCTCTGGAGACATCCTGCTTTCTCTAGTTGTATCTGCTCCCTGTAGCTTCTATGTACATGGCCACCACAGCCTAGGTGACCTGTGTGATTGTCTTGGGTAGTGTTTAGCTTTGACCTCAGTTCCTTGTGTAGATGAAGATGAACTTGATGATGCTGAGCAGAATTTCCCTTTGATAGCTATGGAGAGGTCCTCACTGTCAAACTCTCCCCTTTCCCTTGTGCATTGCTTGATGTGGCCATCATGCAGGCAGTTAACAACTTCCACCCCTGCCTTAACCTCCATGCCTCTTCAGAAGGAACTGTGAGAACTGTTGAGTGCCTCTTGCATGCTGTTGGGAAGCTACAGAGATTTGGGGTGAGGTGGGGGGCTGTCCCACATTCTTCATAGCACCAATTCACCTATTTGAATGACTTAGTTAAAATTAAGCACAAATGAACTGTGTGTGCAATTGCCAGCAGCTCATGTGTTCTGCATGATTTCAGGAGCACATGTCTTATGAGCATGGGTACCTGAGTAACTCCTTCTTCTGGATCCCGGTGGCAGCCTGTTTCACTCCGTACATTGCGATGAGCAGCGTCGGTGACTATAAGGTAAGGAGATTTAACAAAGTCCTTGCATATTCTTATTACTCAGAGACCCCTTCTCTGCTCTATGACTGTACATTTAGAGTACAGTACATTTGGAGGGAGGGACACTCCAAATTTACGTGCTTGAAACAATGTGTCATCCCGCATTTTATTATTTTATTTATTTATTTATTTTAATTTTTTCTTTTCAGCGTAACAGTATTCATTGTTTTTGCACCACACCCAGTGCTCCATGCAATCCGTGCCCTCTCTAATACCCACCACCTGGTTCCCCCAACCTCCCACCCCCTGCCCCTTCAAACCCCTCAGATTGTTTTTCAGAGTCCATAGTCTCTCATTGGTTCCAATTCCTCTCAACTCCCTTCTCCTCTCCATCTCCCCTTGTCCTCCATACTATTTGTTATGCTCCACAAATAAGTGAAACCATATGATAATTGACTCTCTCTGCTTGACTTATTTCACTCAGCATAATCTCTTCCAGTCCTGTCCATGTTGCTACAAAAGTTGGGTATTCATCCTTTCTGATGGAGGCATAATACTCCATAATGTATATGGACCACATCTTCCTTATCCATTTGTCTGTTGAAGGGCATCTTTAAGATTCTATTTATTTATTTGACAGGCAGAGATCACAAGTAGGCAGAGAGGCAGGCAGAGAGAAAGGAGGAAGCAGGCTCCCTGTGGAGCAGAGAACCCGATGCAGGGCTCGATCCCAGGACCCCAGGATCATGACCTGAGCTGAAGGCAGAGGCTTTAACCCACTGAGCCACCCAGGCGCCCCTCATCCAGCATTTTAATACAAGGTTGGCAAATATGAAGAAAATGCTATTCTTCTTAAACAGTGGTGAGACCTCGGGAAGGACAGCGGAGGAGGTATCATCAGCTAACAGGGAATGGCAGCTTTCATCTGGTTTATCACTGAGATTTTTATTGGTAGCCACGGCCCTCTGACATTATCACAATGCCTCTTGGCGATGGTTTTTGCTTCGAGGTGGTGGTGAAGTTACTCAGTGAAACAGTCCTAACCAATTCATCCCAGAACTTTGGCTTATTGTTGAAAAAGACTGCCCCTTTCAAGATGCATTTTAGCTTCATTCAGTTGGAACATATTTGTACTAAATTTTTTTTAAGATATTTATCTAAAATCCAAATGTAATTGGAAACTCCATGATATTAATACCTCTTTCTCCTTAGCCTCCATGGCCAGCTAATGGTGAAGTCATGGAATTTGCTTCTGAAATCTACCTAAAATCTTCCCATGTTCCTCCATCTCTCCTACAACACCCTGGTCAGAGCCACTATCATCTGTGTCCTGGATGAGCACATCAGCCTCCTTAAATGCTTACTATGGCTCCTCATTAGTCTTCTCCTTACCCATTCTCCACCCAGTGGGACAGAACAAGTACTTAAACACACACATCCGACCACACTGATGACTCACTTAAGTCCCTCCATTGGTTTCTTGGCAAACCAAGGAGCAAGAATGAAATCCCTGCTGTAGCCTGAAAATCAGTACATGAACTGGACCCAGATGTCTCTCTCCACTTTGATATGATGCCACTATTACCTCAATAATTATGTCCAGCCAACTGGATTCTTTCCAGTTTCTTGAGAGGGCCAACTGTACCCACTACAGGTCTCTCCTGTGCTCTCTGCCTGCTGTGCTCCCTACCTGTCACCTGTGCAACTCCTACTCACCACTTAGACCCCCACTCAGGCCCTTCACAAGGGAACCTTCTCTGATAGACCCCCTAATTACAATTCACCTCTCCTATGACCCTTATCTTAACACTTTTACTTTTACTTCTTAAATTTTAGTTTTCACAATTTTAATTATGTAGCTATCACTACATCTATTTGCATATCACCTTTATCTCTTTTGGCCCCTGCAACTTGACCTCCACCAGAGCCCCATAACCAACACAAAGCACATGATGTGCCCAGTAAACATATATTGAACATATTAATGAACAGAAAAAGTCCAGCTCTCTAACGCATCCTAGCTATCATTCTCTTTCCTGATTTTTTTTCCAGGTACACTTCCCTTTCCAGAATATTTATCTCCATTCTAACTTTTTTCCTAAAGGATGTCTTTATATAGACTCAGTTTAAGATTTAAAATTTTCATTGCTTTTGTGCTTCTGTTAAAATTCAAGTAATATTTTAAGCCTTGTGTTAAGACAATCACCACAACAATATAACTTAGAGCGGGTCACAATATCAAAATCTACTTACTAGTTTTCATGCATAATAATGAATAATGTGCTTTATTCAAGACAATAAGTGTCTTATTTTTATCTTATTAGTTTTAACAGACATCTTCTTATGCCAACCTAAAAAGATAGTAATAAAATTGACTTGTTAGAAGATCATTTCTTAGACCTAAAATAAAATGCCAATTATAAAAGGACTGTTTATACCCAGCATAAATTTGAAGAATCTTACAGGGAATTTGTAGACCTACATCTCTGGAATCTTTGTACAATTTACAAGTCTCCGTTAGTGTCCAAAAGAAGAGTAGCTTTGCAAAGAAAAGAACAGGCATCTTAATGAGGCAATGTCCAGTCATTCCGTGACGGAATGTGGGCTGGTTTTGTTGTTGCATTTCTCCTTTGGACAATGAGGTCACCATGCAATATGGAGCACCACCAATCCTCCCGAAAAGAGGAGTGTGGCCGGTAACAGTGTCATTTACTGTATCAATATAATACACTAAAGGAACACACACACAAAAATGAAAGATTATGTGACCACATATTTGCAGTTTCTCAAGCCTCAACTACTCAGCACTTTTGATGATTCTTCCTTTTCTTTCCCAGAGAAAAGCTTACTCCCAGCTACGGATTTCAGGCCTCTACCCTTCTGCTTACTGGTTTGGCCAGGCACTGGTGGATATTCCCCTCTACTTCTTGATCCTCCTTCTGATGCAAATAATGGATTATGTTTTTAGCCCAGATGAGATTATATATATAATTCAAAACCTGTTAGTTCAGGTAAGTGGCAAAAATTATGAGATAGTTTTATTAGACTATATTTCATGAATGCAATGACATTATTTTTTAAAAAGATTTTATTTATTTATTTGACAGACAGAGATCACAAGTAGGCAGAGAGGCAGGCAGAAAGAGAGAGGGAGGAAGTGGGCTCCCTACTGAGCAGAGAGCCTGATGTGGGGCTTGATCCCAGAACCCTGGGATCACAACCTGAGCCAAAGGCAGAGGCTTTAACCCACTGAGCCACCCAGGCGCCCCTGAAATGACATTATCAATCTTAAACTAAAGAATTTCAAATTACCTTTGCTATAGCATAGTTTGGAAAGTTGAGGTTTCGGTATGAATGCTTTCCTAGGTTTGGATTTACCTTATCCAACCTTAATATTTCTATTTTCAGATCTTGTGTAGTATTGGATATGTCTCATCTCTGGTTTTCTTGACATACGTGATTTCATTCATTTTTCGCAATAGGAGAAAAAATAGTGGTATTTGGTCATTTTTCTTCTTAATTGTAAGTATGTTCATATTATTTGATTTTTAAATAATTTTAAAATAATTTTAAGAATATGTATTTTAAAGGCACAATCCACAAGAAGGACAGTGTCAAACTGAAAAGCTGCTGCAGAGCAAAGCAATCAATAAAATGACAGGGAAGCCTATGAAATGGTGAAAATATTTATAAACCATGTATCTGGTAAGGGGTTAATATCTAAAATATGTAAGGAAATTTTATAACTCAACAGCATAATAATAATAATAATAATAGTAACAGATATGTGAAAACAAGCTCAATATGACTCATCATCAGGGAAATGCAGATCAAAACCCCAATGAGATATCACCTCACACCTGTTAGGCTATCAAGAAAAACACAAAAGATAAGAAATGTTCTCAAGGATGTAGAGAAGAGGGAATACTTTACACTGTTACTGGGATTGTAAAGTGGTGCAGCCACTATGCAAAAAATATGGAGTTTCCTCAAAAATTAAAAAAATAGAATTACTGTATGATCCAGGTATGTACCTCTGGGTATCTATCTGAAGGAAATGAAATCATTATCTCTTAGAGATGTGTGCTCCCCATGTTTATTGGAAACAACCTAATTGTCCACTGACAGATGAATAGATAAAATGTAGTATATACATACAGTGGAGTATTATTCAACCATAAAAAGAAGGAACTGCTGCCCTTGTAGGATTAACCTTGAGGAGATTAGGCTAAGTGAAATAAATCAGACAGAAAAAGACAAATACAGTGTGATCTCATGTATGTGTGGAATCTAAAACACCATCCTTATCAAAACAGAAAGGAATGCTGATTACCAGGGGCTGTGGGTGAGGGAAATGGGGAGATGTTGGTCAAAGGGTATAAACTTTAAGTTATTAGACGGAGAAGTTGTTGGGATCTAATGTACAGCGTGATGATGATAGTTAACAATACTGTATTATACACTTGCAAGTTGCTAAGAGAGTAGATCTTAAGTGTTCTCATTGTAACAACAACAAAAAGGTAACTATGTAAGGATAGGGGTGTGTTAACTAACCTTATTTTGGTAATTGTTTCACAGTGTATATGTGTATCAAATGATCACATTGTACATTTTAAACTTACACAATGGAATATGTCAATTATATCTCAAAAAACAGCGTGGGGGGAAGGAGAACCATTTAAGGATTAAACTAATTGGAGCAGGAGACAAACCATGAGAGACTTTGGATTCTGAGAAACAAACTGAGGGTTTTGGAGGGGAGAGGGGTAGGGGGTTGGGTGAGCCTGGTGGTGGGTATTAAGGAGCGCACATATTGCATGGAGCACTGGGTGTCGTGCATAAACAATGAATGATGGAACACTGAAAAAAATTAAATTAAATAATAAATAAATAAAAATAATTTAAGAAAATTTAAAATGCTATAAAACCACTGGTAGGGAACACTGAATTCTGTTAAAGATGCATAAAGTTGAATAACTTTGGGAATCATAAATTATATAAAATATATATTTACATACAATATATGTAATATTTATATATATTATATAATATATATATAATATAATATATAATTCACAAAGTGTAATATTTCCTTTTATAAAGTGAACATAACTTTAGTACAAATCCTAAGAAAAAGAGAGTAAAAAAGAAAATCATTGATAAATTAATTTGAAAAATCAAAGACAGTTCTCTAAATAAAAAGATGACAAAGCAGAAGTAAATTAAAAGAAGAAGACTAGTTCAGTATGATTTATTTCAAATTACAATGATGATCCACTATTAGGAGCTATCAAACTAACAGAGGAAAACTGTATCAGTTAAGGAAACACCATACCATTCCTTTAAAAATGTCCAATAAAAAGTATAAGCACAGGAAGGACAAATTACTAAAAACCAATGACAAATATTATAGGACATAGTAAACTTATGCAGCTATTCACCTAATATCAGCAATAAAACAAGGACACCTACAGTAATTAATTAAAGCACCCTGTGTGCATGAGGAGGTCTAACATACACACCCATCCCTGTTTGTAAGAGCATAGACTGTCACCACCATTTTGAAAAATAACCTGTTAGTAACTGTTGACAATGTGAATCCACATAAATCTTAACCTGCATTTACACTTCTCAGAATCTTTCCTAAAAGACTAAGAGTGTTGGAGCAACTGGGTGGGCACAGTTAGTGAGGCTCCAGACTCTCGGTTTCAGCTCAGGTCATGACCTCAGGGCTATGAGATTGAGCCCCATGTCTGGCTCTATGCTCAGTGTGGAGTCTGCTTGAGGATTCTCTCTCCCTCTCCCTCTGCCCCTCCCACTTGTGCTCACACTCTGTCTTTCTCTCTAAAACAAAATAAATAAATCTTTAAAAAATAAAGATAAAGAGTGCCAATAGATAAGGATTTAGGTAGACCATTATTTATAGGAGCAGAGAAATTGGAACAACATGTTTTCTGAAGGCAAAATTGTTGAATTCTTGCACATCCTTTCTTTGGAAGGAAATACTATGCAGCTGTGAAAATGAATACTGGTATGTTTAAATCCAAACAGATGTCTGTGATCTCCTGTGAAATGAAACAAAAGGAGAAGACTGAGCAATGTGTGAAAAAGATCCCTCTTGTCAGAATCTGAATTTCAGCAAGAACTCCAAATGATTTGCAAGCACATTGAATTTGAGAGCCCTGTTGTGTCTTAAAAATATCATAGTCAGTCAAATACAGAATTCTGACACAATCTTGAGCTGCAAAGAAAAAAAAATGGTGGTAATACTGCCTTGCAAGGGAAAGCTGAAAATAAGAACATTTACAAGATGAATTCCCACCCTCTTGGAAAACATCCTAAAATTCAGATTTTTTTACACGTTAGTGAAATTAAGCTGCACTTGTTTTTTTTTTTCTTTTAGATCACCATCTTCACAATAGTTGCTACAGATATAAATGAATATGGATTTCTAGGGTTATTTCTCTGCACTATATTAATACCACCTTTCTCACTGATTGGTTCTCTGTTCATTTTCTCTGAGGTAAGTAATTTCATGCCTGTCTTTAGGTCATGAAGTGTGCGGCCACTGGAGATATCCTAGAATACTGTAAAAATCCTGGTGGAGTCCTTATCTACAAAATTCAAAGTCTCTGTCTTTGGAAAGATCGTTCTTTTACAAAGGCAAGAGTCACATTATTTAATAAGAAGCTCTGCCTTGGTTCATGAAGGTCAAAGGCATCTTTGTAGTGGTGGAATTTTATAGTTCTCATGATAACCCTCTCTCCTGGGAACAAATGACCCTGCTGGGAGGCTAATGAGCTGTGCTTTTTCTGTTAATTTTGGACATACTGGTTTTAAGTTTCCTAATGGGCATACAATGGGAAATGCCAAATAGCCAGCAGGATGTATGAATCTGAAATACTGCTTGTGGTTGCTCGACACGCATCAGCACGTAAATGATATCTAAAGCCATGGCACTAGATAATATAACCTACAGAACAAATATAGTTTGAATAAAAAGTGGGCCAAAGATTTGGCCTTGACTCCAAACTTTAAAGATTGGTCAAAAGAGTCAGCAAGTCAGGTTGAGGAGGAGACCATGAGGTAGAAGAAAAAGTGAAGGATGGTTGTGCACCAGAATCTCTTCTCAGAAACTCTCCTTAAACACTTAAAGTGTCTGTATGGGCAGATATGTTCCAGGTGGCAATAAAGAATATTTTAGGCAGAAGAGAGTGATTCAACCATCGAACAAGAGGTCTAGAAAGTTGATGACTGAGAAGAGACCACTGGATGGAGACCACATGGAAGTCATTGGTGATATTAATCAGATAGAATTCAAAGGAAGGGTGAACACCAAACCTAACTAGAGTGAGCTTAGTAGATACTGTGAGATGAGAAGGTAATGCAGGGGTAGAGACACCTATTTCTAGTTTTGCTGAAAAGAATAACAGAGATGGAAAAGTAGATGAATGAGAAGAATACATTTCTGTTTAAGAAGGGAGATAACATGCTTATAAGAGAGAAGTTTCTGATGAAAAGAGAGACATGAACTACCTAAGAAGTCTGACTCCTTGAATAGCTGAGGAAAAAAAAAATATGGTATAGTGCCCAAGCAGAGAGGTTGCTTTCCATCATAGCAGGAACATTCTATCTCTTTATCAAGACCATAGCCAGAGGCAAATAGTTTAGTGGCTTGGATGGTAATAAGACGCATGATTCTCTTCTGAGTGATCCTACTTTCTTATGGAAAGAGATGACGTTTTTAACTTAGAGTGAGGTGAACAGGGGTGTTGGGATGTTGAGGATAGAGGAAAGGATGTGAACAATTATTTCAGAAAGTAGGTCAGAAGAATTGACAGGCAGTGCTAAAAGATCCCTTGCCCTACTTTCCAAGTGTAGTCAGCAAAGCTGATAGTTTTTCTTATCATAGTCTCCTTCCCAGATACCGTTCAGGGCAGGTGGAGTTACTTTCAGTCAGGGTTAGTGTTTTGCCAAGGGAGTCTGACAAAGAAAAGAATAACTAAGCAGTGGTTCCTTATAAGGAGGGATTGTAGCAACAGACCATGGATTCTATGCGGAATGAAGAATTAAGGAAATGAGGGGGTTTATGGACAGCGAGACAGTGGTGGGGTTGGTGGGTTGGAGGGTCACCAACTCCAAATTATGGAGTAAGGAGAGTAGAGTGACAAAGCTGAAAAAATAAAATATGGTAGATAGGGCAAAGATAGGGGGCTTAAAGTTGATTTTGGGTGTAGTAGTGTCCGGAAGCAGGTGACCAAGTCACATAGGAGAATAAGATCATTTGAAATAATGTCAGGGTCCTGGCAAACCATTCAAGGAGAAGAACACAATCATCTTTTCTAGATGGCTATGATAGAGATTTACTATGTCAGCTCACCATTGCTCAGAAAAAAGTCCTGGGAAATGAAGCTCAAGAAGCAAAATTGGCCTTTTACTCTTTATTTACTAAGAAGTCGGGGGACATTTCAAAATGTATTGTGAATCTGATGAAAATCATGCACTTACATGTTGTGCATGAATATTATGTGTATTACGCATGTGTTGTAAATCTAATGAAAACCGTGCAGAACTGTTGGTGAAGAGCTTTGTAGCATGAGTGATTGTCATGGTTATTCTTAAGAGTGGATGGAGCAAGGGACGAGCTATGTAATGGTTCTTAGGGAAGGAGCACAGATTTAGGAAGAAAGGCAGGTAAAAGTTAGAGGAAAAGGTTTGTCTTAAGATAAATCTTGCCTGTAGCTTCAATGGATCCTGCCAGCACCACCCAGGGTTTTTCCTAGCAAAACAAATCCTGCCAACTCCCAGTGTTCTAAGAGCATCTGAGCCTCTAGTCCAGCACAGCGGAAGAGGTCACTGAGTGACCCTGCAAGCCAAGAAGACACATAGTGAGGTCAGAAGTAGACTTTTAGGGTGCCTGGGTGGCTCAGTGGGTTGGGCCGCTGCCTTCGGCTCGGGTCGTGATCTCAGGGTCCTGGGATCGAGTCCCACATCGGGCTCTCTGCTCGGCGGGGAGCCTGCTTCCCTCTCTCTCTCTGCCTGCCTCTCTGTCTACTTGTGATCTCTGTCTGTCAAATAAATAAATAAAATCTTCAAAAAAAAAAAAAAAAGAAGTAGACTTTTACCTGACGCACCAGGGAGAACACTGGCAAGGTCATTTAAAGGACATTTGTGCATCTTATGTGAGATGAGATTCGAGAACAGATAAAGGTTCATCTAAACTTACCTTTCCTCATTTTACAGATTTCTCCTGACTCCGTGGATTACTTAGGGGCTTCAGAACATCAAATCGTGTTCCTGGCACTGCTAATAGTAAGAATACATTTCCATTTAGATGTTCTTGCATGAGGGGGACACATTTGTTTGCTTAGCATTAAGTTAAAAAGTTTAACTTTGGCACTTGAAAACACAGTATTTTAGGCATCTGAAGCAACACACACACACACACACACACACACACACACACACACACACACTTTAAAATCTGGACCACTATTTTTATAACAATCATTTGACATGGAGTTTAGAGCCCAAACTCTCAATGGTGTGATTAGTCCTGGTACCAACTTACTACTGTCTTGTCTGTTGTGGCTTCTCTGAAGAGCTAGCTCTGAGAGTTTCACTGGACATTAAAAGATTGTCTTTCAAACTTGTCAAAATGTTATCAGATCTGTCTTTGTACATACAGTCAAACTCCTTAAATAAATTCCAGTATTGAACTTGTTTTTTATGGTGATTTCTAACACTGATTGTTTTTTTATCCCCTTAGCCTTACCTTCATTTTTGCATATTCGTTTTTGTTCTCCGGTGTCTGGAAGTGAACTTTAGAAAGAAATCAATGAGAAAAGATCCCGTGTTCAGGTTGAGAAAATTTAAATATGATTTCATGTTTTATTTTAATCTTCATTGTTTAAAAATATTTTAATATGCCTAAACTAATTAAGTAAAAATTACCGCACAGGATTATTTTTTAGGAATTGTGTAGTGTACAAAATTATTCTAATTCATGATACTTTAATGAGCTTACAATCTAGGGAGGGAAACCACATTAACACACATGAGACGCTGAAAAATTAAGGAATACCATAATTTCACTGACATACTAAAAGAAAGTTATATACGGAAGATAAAATCTTTAAAATAATGGGTAAATATAGATAAACAATTGGTAAGTGTAGCCAGTCCAGGAAGGTAGAAAAAAGCAGAAGCTGATATAAATGCCAACTTCCTATAGATTGAGAAGACAGCTGGAAAGAACTTACAGGTTTGTACTGGAAGATAATGAAAAATTAAAGCTAAATTTTGGAGGGTTTTGGAGTACAGAAGCATAGGGAAGAGTTTGCAAATTACATAATGGGAAATCAAGACAGCTATGTTTTAGAAACCTCGTCTAACTCACAAAATATGAATCCAGTTCAAGTGTAAAGTAGGTAGTAGGGCAGGAGCATGACAAGGTGACAGCCATATTTTAGGAGATTGGCAGACATCAACCATTTGCGATGGCATGAAGGAGGGAGATGAGCATAAGCAGTAATCAGTGGTAGGGGTGATGAAGGAAAGAACTGGGTGTATAGCAGTCAGGAAGGAGTGATTCTGAAACTTATCTCTAAGAAGTGACAGTGCTCACTTACTGGTGATTACGTGTCCTGGATTTTTCTGGGATGCATCTCGAATTCCAAATGTTTCAATCCACAGTTCTCTCAAAGTCTTCAGAATTCCGAAATACCTGTGCCAAAATTACGGTTCCTAGATGCCTTTCTCACACAACTATGCCCCAAAATCATTTGCCAGAGAGTGTGTCCTGTTTTATTTATTTATTTTTTAAAAGTCACAACAGACAAAGAAAAGTAAAACTAGGGAAAAAGCAAGAGTAGTATCATTTGACTTGTTGATGGAAACCAGGCTCTTTACAAGGCAGATGGCGCAGAGCCGAAAAATGGGGGTTGTATTGTTCTCGGAGTCAATCTATTCACATAATTGAGAGCAGTCTACAGCAAGCTCATTATTTTTGCTGCAAGTTTTTCAACTGGAGACCAGTTACTCTCACACTGTTTTGATTTTAGAATTTCCCCAAGAAGCAGTGGCATTTTCCCAAACCCAGAAGAACCCGAAGGAGAGGATGAAGATGTTCAGATAGAAAGAAGGAGAACCACAAATGCTAGGACCATTGCAGACTTTGATGAGGTAGAACGATGAACAACGTTCATCTGAATATTTTGAAAAACACTTTGCGGTTCTTCTGTCCTTACAGAGCTCATTCCTTGACTTCGCGGAATATGCAATGTCCCCAGAGATAGGAGAACCAGGGAATACACACCCATACCCACACGCACAGACTTGTTAATTCCTTTTCCAGGGTTGTAGTTTGGGTAAGAAAAGCTACACATTACAAAACCTAAGCAAGTAAGACTTTGTGAGTTTCATGGACTGAGTAAAGCTTATTGGAAGATGAGAGAGTCCATCTGAGATGTTTGTGTGTTTGTGTGCATGTGTGAGTGTGTGTCTGAACAGTCCTACTGGTTTGGTGGATGTCTCTGTTCCTGTTTTCTGAGAAAGGTCAAGCATAGATCACGCAATACGATACGAATGTTATTTCCCTGCAGGAATATAGATTGGGAGAGTTGACTTGAACATGGCAGTTTCTGGGGAAAGAACTTGTCTGATTCTGTACAGGGAAAAATGTGGTTGTAGGGAATGTGGTGCACTCACTCATTTCAAGGTAAGAATAAAGCCCCACTGTTAATTTCTTGTCTCTACAGAAACCCGTCATCATTGCTAGCTGTCTGCGGAAGGAATACACAGGCAAGAAGAAAGACTGCTTCGCTAAGAGGAAGAAAAAAGTGGCCATAAGAAATGTCTCTTTCTGTGTTAAAAAAGGTTGGAGACACTAGATTTAATGTTTAAAGCTATCTTGACCTCCTGAGACGAGGTCTTTGGGAGAGAATAATAGTATCTGAATTGGGGGCCATCTGTTGATAATCATGAAAGGCAGCCTGTCACCCACAGGCACGTGCGGAACCCTCCTGCTTAAAAGCCTCGGTTATGATAACAATGTTTTCTCTTGGTCTGAGAAGACAGTTCTGTCTGTTCTGTTGAAACAGGCAAACAAACAAAAAAAGAACAACTGCAAAAAAAAAAAAAAAAAAGGCAGTCTTTCTGTTAAGAAGGATGCTGTAGCTTTTGAAGGAGTATCGTTAATTTCACAACAGGAATGCACCCAGGAGGAACTCACTGGGGCACAGCAGTGCAGTCTCTATTCTAAAGAACACATTTTGGGGAAGTGTCCATTAAATGCGACAGACTTGAGATCAAAATTTGTTTCTGTTCCAGCATTTTAGTGGCTGTGTGATGGTGGGTAAGTTATGTATCCTCCTTACCCCTCAGTTTCTTTGCCTATAGAATGAAGCCAGTAACATCATCTATTTGTGTGTGTGTGTGTGTGTGTGTGTGTGTGTGTGAAGAACAGATGAATTAATACATCTGTGCACTCGACAGAGAGCCTGACACATAGTGAGCCCTCCAGGAGTATTTGCCTCTAGGTTTATTGTAATTATTTGACGTTATAATTCTAAGCATACCTGTTTCTTTCAGGTGAAGTTATAGGGCTCTTAGGATACAATGGAGCTGGTAAAAGTACAACTATTAAGATGATAACTGGAGATACAAATCCAACTGCAGGACAGGTCAGTAAACCACACAGAAATAGGGTCCTTAATGCTGCCTCGAACAAGCTCTAACCTGTGAACATTGATGATAGTCTCAAAAATACATAAATGATCCTTTCTTATGAATCCATTGAGTTATGCATAGAATGAGAGGATGAATTAAAAACTTCTCACCTTAATTCCAAAACTAGTAGCACGCCATGTTACTGACACCATATGTTCCATTGGATGAAAAGTAGTGACATTAAAAGGAAATGTTTTGGTAAAAGTAAAGCTGAATACTAGCTTTATTCAGGTCAGGGATCTTTGGGTTTTTTTACTTTTTATTTTTTGACTTATGGATCCTGAGAATTTGTTGAATTAAATTGCTAAGATCTGGGACTTATTCAGAAAACAGATCATAGATTGGGGGGGTGGGGAAGGATTGTCTAAATTCCCAATCAAAAACTAGAATGGTGGGGCGCCTGGGTGGCTCAGTGGGTTGAGCTACTGTCTTCGGCTCAGGTCATGATCTCGGGGTCCTGGGATCAAGTCCCGCATCGGGCTCTCTGCTCAGCAGGGAGCCTGCTTCCCTCTCTCTCTCTCTCTGCCTGCCTCTCTGTCTACTTATGATCTCTCTCTGTCAAATAAATAAATAAAATCTTTAAAAAAAAAACTAGAATGCTATGTTAATGCCACTTGGTGGTACATCTAGACCAAGTGGGATAAAATGATGGACAGACGTCTTCAGGGACCACAACACTGAGGAGGAGCTGCTGTTGATGTTTGACAGAAGGTTGAGGGCAGAGGGAGGGGCCATAAAGAGAGATTTTCTAGCAGTGTGGATTGCAACAGAGGTTTCCAAATTGTCTCTCCTCACATAGCAGACAGAACGGCCCATAAAAGATGCCACTGAGATCATGTCACTCTCCTGCTTATCATCCTTCAGTTAGAATTGATCCAAAACCTTTAGCATGGCCAAAAAAAGGCCCTGTGAGATCTGGGCTTTGCTCACTTTTGCTGACATTGGCCTTTGGTCATTGTCCTTCTGTAGGACCTTCCATTGGCTACAGTGTTTCTCCTTCGGGTTTGCACTTAGTTACCTCCTTCTTGTCACTTTGAAATTTACCTCCCCAAAAGGACTTTCCCTGACTCTACTCATGGCAACCTTGGATCCTCCTTTTTTATTCTTTATCCCATTTATTGCATCGAAAGCATTAAGCAAGGGGTATAATTCATCCCCATATGGGTCTAGTTGTTTTTATTTTCCATTTCTTTCTCTAGAGTGAACGCTCTGTGAGCCCACGTTAACTAGTTCTTTTCTCCACTGTATTGGAAAAGACAGCATAGCGCTGAGGTCAAAGGCTTGGATTCTGAAGGCCGAGTCCAGCTTTAACCCCCCCGGTTTACCTTGTGTGACCTTCTGCAAGTTTCTGAACTCTAAATCAGTTTCTAAAAGTGATACCTGAGTCATATAGGGTTTTTCTAAGGATAAAGTAATTCAAAACACATAAACTGCTTAGATACTAGCACACAGTAAGCACTGGTACACATCACTTATTTATATTATTGTAAAGCACTGTGATTGGCTCATAAAAATAATAAATGCTATTTATTAGTATTTATTGGTTTCTATGTGCTGGACTAGTGCCAAGGACCTTTCATTTATTATCTTAGTTCAGGATTTCCTAAGCTTGGTGCTGGTAACATTTTGGGCTAGCCGTTTTTTGCATGTGTGGACCATCCTATGTGGCATGCCTAGCCTCTTGCCATGTGATCCCAGCAGCACCCAATGTACCGACCACAAACATCTCCAGACATTACCAAATGTCCTCTGGGAAGATCGCCCCTGATTGAGAAGCACTGCCATCTTTAATGCTCACAATAAACTTGTGCAACAGACCCTATAACTATAGCTCGTTTAACATTGGGGAAATAGAACCTTCAATGAGTGTCTACTCCTTTGAACGTTGAGATCAGTGAGGGAAGTCAAACAGCGAAAACCCAGTAAGCCACCCTGAAGCCAACCAAGGTAACGGACTTGGAAACAAACACTATAGAGGTATAGGACAATGTGGAATAGCTTCCTTTTGATTTATTGAGGTTTTTGGGTTTTTTTTTTTAGTTTTTTACCATCTTTCTCCTACAGCTAAGTGATCACTGATTTACATTTGCACTCTTGGCAGCCATGTGTGTAAGACGAGGACATCACTGAATTTTGCACTCATGTGCCATACACATGTATACACAATTTTGGACTGAATGTGAAAATGAACTTTCTGTGCAGGTGATTTTGAAAGGGAGCAGTGAGGGGGATTCCCTCGGGTTCCTGGGATACTGTCCTCAGGAGAATGTGCTCTGGCCCAACCTGTCAGTGAGGGAACATCTGGAGGTCTTCGCCGCCATCAAAGGGTTGGAGAAAGGGGACACCACAGTCACCATCACACGGTACATGGGGGGAGACACACACATTCTCCACTGGGGGAATATGATAGGAATGACGTCCACAGAGAATTAAGAAAGGGAGATTCTAACCGATAACACCGCGCCTGTGGGAGAAGACTTAGCTATCAAGAAGCCAGTGGAGTGTTGTATTTTCACATGTTAAACCTAGAGAGAACAATTTTATTGATTATTCTTAATATGGAATATTAGTCCATATTAGTCATTGAAAAATATGAACTTGACCACTATAAAAAGCTCCTAAGGCATCTAGGTGGTTTCGATTGCATGATCATTCAGGATACTCTTTTTTAAAACGTCTCTAATGTACTGTTTGTTCCGATTTGCCCATCCCCCACACACATTCCCCTTAGTGTGGGGTTAATGTGGATGGACCCACTGTGTTTCCTCCAGGTTGGCGGATGCGCTCAAGCTGCAGGACCAGCTGAAGCAGCCCGTGAAGGCTTTATCCGAGGGAATAAAGAGGAAGGTAAGAGGGGGGCTCAGCGTCACTCTGCGCACCCCAGGTCAGTGCCAGACTTGTTGTCCCTCTCGTTGCAGCTCTGCTTTGCGCTGAGCATCCTGGGAAATCCGTCGGTGGTGCTTCTGGACGAGCCCTCCACCGGCATGGACCCCGAGGGGCAGCTGCAAATGTGGTGAGGGGACGTCATGAGTCATCCCAAGGGAACTTGTGAGCCCTATAACAACTGATCTTCAAAATTGTGGTTTATAAGGCAGAAGACAACCCATTATCAGGAAATGCAATATTCAGGGGAGAAAACGCTGATGTCCCTATCACAGTCAATTTTTATTAAGAAAAAAAAAAGATAATTCTAACACCATAATCCTCTTAAGAATCTTGTTTTCATGATAGATCTTTGGGATATGCATGGCCCATTTTCATACTCAACCACGTCAATCTATTATTCAGTTTCAATTTCTTTTTTTTTTTTTTAAGATTTTATTTATTTGACAGACAGAGATCACAAGTAGGCAGAGAGGCGGGGGGGGGGGGGGGGGGGGGGGGGGGCCAGGCTCCCTGCTAAGCAGGGAGCCTGACGCAGGGCTCCATCCCAGGACCCTGAGATCATGACCTGAGCTGAAGGCAGAGGCTTAACCCACTGAGCCACCCAGGCGGCCCCAGTTTCAAGTTCTACAGCATCACCTGATACATAGTTCTTACAAGGAAAAAAATCTCAAATTCTTAGGACTATACAGAAATCTGCTGTTTTGTACTTTAGGGCTTATGTGACTTTTATCATGCTTTTAAATAAGTGTTCCTCATTTTTTTTCTTCCCACTGCTCTCTCAAACATATTCTTGGAACTCAGTATTTTTCTAAATGAACTCTTACCCAATATCATCTTCTACCTTCAGCCCCAGCCATGTTCTGAATTATATACTCTACCCAATAGTTTGGGTATTTACATGACGTTCTCCCTCCAAAAATCATTTCTTTGTCTAAGTCGAATTCACTAGTTGTTTCCTCTGTGCCTGTGAAAGGTATTTCAAAGTCTTCTTATCTTATCTTGAGCATTCCCAGCAGCTAACATTGCCCCTGATCTCCCTTTAGGCAGGCAATCCGGGCCACCTTTAGGAACACGGAGAGGGGCGCCCTCTTGACCACCCACTACATGGCAGAGGCTGAGGCCGTGTGTGACCGCGTGGCCATCATGGTGTCTGGAAGGCTGAGGTGGGTGCCCATTCGAACCCACCCTTGGCCCCCCAGAGGGCCCTGAGCAAAGACGTTGCATTACACAGGGTTATCACTGGCAGGGGCTGGGGTGACTGGCTACTCCCACTCCGCACGGCCCTGGCCTCCTGGGGCTGAGAGTCAAGGGCAATCCCTCTGTCTTCTTCTCTTCCTTGACTTCATCCTCGTCCTACCTCCAGGTGTATTGGTTCCATACAACACCTGAAAAGCAAATTTGGGAAAGATTATCTGCTCGAGTTGAAGGTGAAGAACCCCGCCCAGGTGGAGCCCCTCCACTGTGAAATTCTGAGACTTTTCCCCCAGGCTGCTCAGCAGGAAAGGTAAGGACAGGTGTTGGCTTGTTTCATCCTTTTGTTTTTCTATTATGGCGAAGAGAAATAAAAGCTTTACTTGATCATTCTTTTGTTGCTGTTGTTGTTAACTTTATGATAATTGTGATTTAATTAATTAGAGACTACCTCTAATTAATTAATTGTGATTTTATTTATTGATTAATTATTAAAGAAAGGCCCAATTCTAAGGGAATTTCCTTCCGCAAAAGGGAAATAAGAGAGCAAAGTACTGATTGGGAAGCTGATTGTTGTAAGGGAATTCAGATTCCTGGCAGCTCTATCATGTGCCAGGTCTTAAGGCATGCATGGACCTAGGTCATCCAGATCCTTTCTAGAGGGTAAAAACATCCCCCATTAAATGTGACCACTTGTCTAAAGCCGAGACCCGGTGCCAGGCATCAGTAAAAGCTCAGTATGTGGTGGTTCTTAGCATTATTATTATTATTTGTAATGGCACTTGAGGTCGTTTTCATCATGCCAAATCCTAGCAGTGGAGCCAGACGCTGGTCTTAGTTCTTTGTACTTAAATGCTTTCTCTTCTCACTAAGGAAGAAGGATGATAAGTAATCCTGCCTCTTCCCTTCTTGGGGTACTGCTCGTCTCCTCTGTCTCCCATTCCTCCTGAGAGTAAAAGGGAGCTTTACTGTGAGAGCCCCCTCCTGCTTCTGCTTGAGTAAAGTGACTTCTTGTTGATTAAAGAACATTCCCACTACCACTGTGTCCATGGGTCTGTAGACTCGTACATTGAAACAAATTGTTAGTGACATTGTTGCTGCTTTTTAGACATGCAGGCATCCATGGTTGTCTTCTTGAAATGTGGGGCTCAGTCTCCCTCTCCTTTCCTCGCAGGTACTCCTCCCTGATGGTCTATAAGTTGCCCGTCAAGGATGTGTGTCCCTTATCGCAAGCTTTCTTCAAATTAGAGATAGGTAAGAGTGACTTTTTGGAGATAGGACTCTGGGAAACTGAGAAATTCAGATCTTGGATAAAACCAGCGTAAGAGATACATGGGCATGAAATTGCGCTGTTATACCAGAAATAAATTAAGACTTTTAATCCAGTGGTTCTCAGTCACCAGTGGTTTGGTAATATCTGTGGATATCTTTGGTTGTCACAAGTGGGGATGAAGTTGGGGAGTGTGACTGGTATCTTGCAGGTCAAGGCTGGGGTGGTGCTAAACATCCCACAGTGCACACAGGTCAGCTCCCTCCCGCAGCAAAGAAGGATCAGACCAGAATGTCATTAGTGCCAAGGCTGAGAAGTTGGGACCTAATTGAATGAGACTCTAGAAGGAAGAGATCTTTGGCATTTGGGGCTGGAGTGTCCACAGATTCATTAAAAAAAAAAAAAAAAGTCATTTGATTTTGTCTGTATGTACTCTTTGATAGTGTTTAATGTTGATTAGGCAGTCCGTGTCTGTTGAGGTGCGCTAACCCATAACTCTTCTCTAGACTCTTGGATTGTGATCTTTGTATACTGCATTGACGTATCAGTATACAAAGCTCTGATTTTGCCTATCACACCAGTGTAGGAAATCTGATAAAAAGCTGAACCCCCCATCCCTCTCTCTCTATTTTTTTTTTTAAGTAGGCTCCACACCCAGAGTGGAGCCCAACATAAGAGTTGAACTTAGGACCCTGAGATCAAGACATAGGCTGAAATCAAGAGTCCGACCCTCCACCAGCTGAGCCACCCAGGTGCCCTCTCCCCCTCTTCTTGATCTGTGCTTTCTTACTTGTCACCTGTCAGTCTTTAGAAGCCCCAGACATTCTAGTTCTTAGAGAAGTGTTTCTCCTTGATACAAGGTTACGATTGCCCCAGATAGCTTTTCTTTTTTACTTTCTCCTCCGCTGGTCACCTTTGCTCTAGGGTCCATGTAACCATTTTCCACGGTCGTCATTCTGGCCTAGTGATCAATTTTTTAACCATTTTCACCATCCTGGCCTGGTGACCAATTTTGCATCATTCCCGTGGGAAAGATTCCCACAACTGGTTCAGATCAACATGAAGTGTTTGATGACCAATTAGGAGCAGGGAGGGAGATATTCCAGAAAGGGCTGTGTCTCTAGAGTACTGGGAGCCCTTTCTTCAGAGCCTTCTAACGTTTCTGCTTTTAAACATGTTCCCTCTCACCTCAGATTCCTTCTGCTGTGTTTCATTTGCTAAAACTAAAGTTCTGCTTAGGAGATGGGGGGGAATCCCTAACTTTTTATCACAGTTTTCTACCCCACTGTGTGGTGGAAATGTAAGTTAGCATTTTTTTCCCCTCCAGATGTTAGGTGAGACACAGTTATCTTCTCAGCTGAACCACAGCTGAATGAGGTAGGCCCCATAGTGTGCGAGCACAGTGCATGCCCCATGACAATTCCTGTGTCCTGCTACATTGGCTGATTCTCCCGTAGCATCAGATCACTTTGGGGTATTGCAAACTGCACAGAACTCCACCCTCATGAGCTCCCTCCAGGTCAACATTGCCTAATGCTTGGAGACTTGAAAGTAGGGAGATGGGTGGGTTGGCTTTCTCTCCTTCTTATCTTATTCCCTCCTCTGCTCATCTGCTGATGTTTTGAGCCTCTTTGGTGTGGAGTGTAAGGGGAGGGAAGAAGAGATAGTATGACAGCAAAGCTTGATTTGCTCATTAGAGCTGGACTACGGCATGAGGGCCTTCAGTGCAGAGAGGAGTTCCTTGAAGATTCCCTCTCCCCTCCCATCTAGAATCTCTGATGAAAGCTACTCTGAGGTGGGAGATGCCTTCTCCTCCTGGTCTCTTGGTCCCTTGCAGCCCTAGGACCACTTCTTGGAATTCCCTTCCCTTTCCAAGAGATCTCTTAGAGGACCTCCCATTGGATGCAGAGGCTTGGCCTCTCCAAACTCTGAAAGTACAGGGCCATCACTGTGCACAATTGTTGACGTGTTCCCAGACTTGAGGCAAGGATCCAAACCCATGTTCCCAGGTTGCAGGCCAATCCCACCACATTCTCTGTCCACTGAGAGGAGAAAGGAAATGCCACAGCAATGTGACAACTGCCCACAAGAAACCTTTGCTTTCTAGTCTCACCTCTCAGTTCATTATTTTTTTCCTCTTATGCATCTGCACGTTTGGGGATCTTATTCACAAACCACACTGTTAACAGATGGTCAAACTAGGATAATTCGGCAACTTTTGGTTTAGGCAGGGACCATTTGCCAAGGGACAAGGCACTGTGTGATGACCCCGGGCTAGACACAGCAGAAGTGTTGACGTTCTCAGGTCCAAAGGGACTAAGAAAGGAAGCGGTGGCTGGAACCCAGGAGTAGAATCATGTAGAATTTGTGATCTTGTGAGAAGCAGTGACTTTCAGTCAAGGGGCAAAGTTGAGGGAGGGAGTGAAGGAATAAAGGCTTTGACCTCCCCACTCCTCTCTCCCTTCTCATGAGCTGCCACTGGTGGAAACCACCAGAAAGGACCTCTTAAGTCAGCCAGTGGAGCAAAGAGCAGAGTAGAGAGGTTGAAGGCAGATATCGAGGGGCACATGGTAGCATTCCAGAGCAGAGGGAACATCTCTCCACTCAGCCTGCATAGGTGGTCTGGGACCTCACACCATGTTTTCCAGTCTGGAGTGCCCCTGCCCAAACTCTAAGATAATGAGAGAGTATTTCCATCCTGTTACAAGACCACAGGGTGAATTTGCCTTTCCATATTTAGCATATGTGCTGCCTAAGCAAGCACATATCTCAGACAGATCTAGTCTGAGAGTATTTATTACCTTATCTTGCATATTTAAAATCTATTTATATGTAGATTTTGTGCATAACTTGGTAAAACTCTCCAAATAAAAAATAGATGAACTCCTAATATCTGTCCATCCTTCTGCAGTTAAACAGAGCTTCGACCTGGAGGAGTACAGTCTCTCCCAGTCCACCCTGGAGCAGGTGGGTCGGTATGAGTGACTCTGTTTCATCCGTGCCCTTTAGGGACACCGTGTGCATACGCCTTGCACTCACTCAGAGCGACAGAAGGCAGCGTAACCTCTCTCTCTCTTCATTTCTTGTCCATCTCAGGTTTTCCTGGAGCTCTCCAAGGAGCAGGAGCTGGATGACTTTGATGAAGAACTTGACTCTTCGGTGAAGTGGAAGCTCCTCCCACAGGAAGACCGTTGAAGTCCCAAATACCCTATTTTTTAAAAAAATCTTATGCCTCTTTTTAAATATAATATTTTATATCATTAATATATCTTATCTCAGATATGATACAAAATGCTTTTGGAATTCATGTCACCATTTTTCTCAATAACATGACGTCTATCAGGACTAAGGAGAAAAGTCAGTGAGAACAATCTTGAAACTGACCATGGGGGCCTCTGTGCCAACAACTAAACCCCACATGTCATAGGGAAGTAAATTAAAAATGCATTTGTTACAAAATGTTTGGGCTTCTCAAGATGATACAGAGATTGCTTTATTTTCTTTGCTTGAACATCAAAATATTGAATATTTTCTTATCCTTTTGAATGAAGTAAGGACAAAGTAAGACCCAATCTTGATTTAGGGGGGAGAGAGCCAGTGACTGCAGAATAACATGGTATTTGCTTTTTTTTTTAAGTTTTTATTTAAATTCCAATTAGTTAACATACAGTGTAATATTAACTTCAGCTGTACAATACAGTGACACAGCGCTTTCATACAACACGCACTGCTCATCCCAACAAGTATTTGCTTTCTGTAATTCAGAGTTTGTTTGGTTCTTTTTTTTTTTTCAGCTTATTCATAATACATGGATTTTCCTTTTCTGTCATTTTTCACATTTTATATTGTACAGTCTATGTTCTGTCTGTTGTGACTATCAAGGAATTTGAAAACCTGTTAAAATAAGTAATTTCAGTAAGAATTTGAATAATCAATTTGATGGAAGTTTAAAAATGATGCACCTCACAATTTTGAAACATATTTATGATTTGATAGGTTTTCTTATGATGTAAGGGTATAGCAGATCTTAATTTCTCATGTTTATGTGTCTTATGACTTCTTTAACTGGTGACCTTCTAAATACCTTCAAATCTGTGCAATATACTTATATGTTCTTATTTAGGTAAGTTTTTTGTTGTTGTTCTTGCTACTGTTGTTGTTAGCTCTTATAGACTGAATTGTGTTCTCCCGAAATTCATAGGTTAAAGCCCCAAAGTCCAGTGTGGTTGTATTTGGAGATAGGGCCTTTAAGGAGACAGAAGTTCAGTGAGGTCAGAAGATTGGGGCCTTAATCCAATAGCACTGGTATCTTTATAAGAAGGGGACGAGATCCCCTATCTCTGTGCACTCACAGGGAAAAGATCCCATGAGGACACAGCGAGCTGGCTACCCACAAGCCAGGAAGAGAGACGTCACCAGAAACCAAGTTTTCTGACACCTGGCCTGGGAGTCACCATTTGGAGATGAGTTGTCTGCAGAGCTCCAGGACCATGCAGGACCGAGTCATGAAACACACAGCTATGCAGAGTGCAACACAAAACCAAAAAAATGAAACCCCTACAAAACACTGTGGTTTTGAGCTACTGAGGTTATGGAGACAGTGGGGTTGTTTGTTACAACAGACAGTCAATGTTACATTAACTAACTCAGATCATGTTAGGAAATGGGTGGGGACAAAACCCTGGGGTATTTCTTGATGGAATTGCCAAAGACTGTTCTAAGCTGCCTGTTCCCAGTCCTTGCCTGAATCAACTCTACAAGCATGACTCTTCCTTCACTTTCAACCCATTTGTGCCACACCATCCTCAAAGTACAGGCAAACAACAGTAACTTCCAACCCAAGACGGGATGCCTTTGGGTGAGTCTACCCTTCTTTGTATTGTGAAAATCCAAGAAGGGATGACCTAACTGAGATATACAAAGTTATACTGAGTAAATGTTTGGAGTATTTGAAGTCAAAAGTAAGAATAAATTATTCCAAGGGATTATTAAATGAAAACATCACAGTGATTATGATTAAGTAGTTTTAATGAGAGTAGATTTATTTTTTTCATCCTAGATGTGCTTTTCTCAACAACGGCACTGTTGATGTTTTGTGCCAGATAATTCTTTGTTGGGGGAGGGAGAAAGGAGAGGCTATCCTGTGTATTGTAGAATATTCAATGGCAATTCTGATCCGTACCCACGAGGTGCCAGTAGCAATTGCCACCTGAGTGTGACAATCAAAAATGTCTCCAGATATTGTCTAAATCAAATTATACGTCCTTAAATTGACTGCTTGGTAATTTTATGATCTTGGAGCAAAGTAAAAAATGAATTAAAGACAGTGGGTCTTGTTCCTTTGGGGGTATTGGCATGTTGCGTTAAATACTCTGGACTAAACTATAAAAAGTGTTCATTTTGAAGAAATCTGAAAACTTGCAATAAAAATGGCCAATAATGCATTTTAAAATTTGCAGGCGCTAGAGTAACTTCTGTTTGAAGTTCATGTCTCCTTGAACTCTTTAAAGAGAGCACAAGCCTCAGGAACGTGTTGCACAAGTGTCTGTGAATGATCTCCGTGAGGGAAAATGAAGAACCATGCAAACTGTTGTGTCCCAAAGCAGTGGGACCTCTGAAAAAGCATGTGTGGCAAAGAGCATTGAAAACTTAATGAGGCAGTTTTTTTCCAGGTGCCTGGAAAAAAATATATTAATGATATTAGAAAGATTATTAGAATTCTCAGTATGTGACTGGCTCAGTTGGTTAAGAATCTGACTCTTGATTTTGGTTCAGGTCATGGTCTCAGGGTCATGAGATTGAGTCCCACATCAGGTTCCACACCCTGTGTGGAGTCTGCTTGAGATTCTCTCTCTCCTTCTCCCTCTGCCCTTCCCCCCACTCACATGCTTCCCCCCCCCAAAAAATAAATAAATCTTCAAAAAAAAAAGTGTGGAAGGAATATACAAAGGGATTCATAATACGATCCTCACCTTGTGCTTCACACAAAAAAACAAAATGCAGGTGGATTCAAGAGAAAATGTGACAAACAAAACTACAGAATTGTTGGAAGGAAATATAGAAGAATATATTTTGACTTCCAGAAAGGAAAGTGTTCCTAAAACAGGACACACAGAGACACACAATCGTAGAGTAAAAATTATAATGTTCAATCACAACCAAATTAAAACTTCAGTACAACAAAAGAGATGATAAACAAAATTAAGATTAAGAAAGTTGAAGAGCTGGCAAATGTGTAAAGAAGTTGTCTGAAACAAAACAGAAAAAAGATTATCCAGAATAAAGATCTCCTAAAAATACATTCATTTTATTTCTTTATTTATTTTTAAAGATTGTTTTTATTCATTTGAGAAAGAGAGGACACAAGTGGGGGGAGTGGCAGGCAAAGGGAGAGGGAGAAGCAGGCTCCCTGCTGAGCAGGGAGCCCAATGCAGGACTCGATCCCAGGACCCTGAGATCATGACCTGAGCCAAAGACAGATGCTTAACCAACTAAGCCACCCAGGTGCCACCAAAATATGTTAGTTTTAAAAGTCAAATAGGAAGGTGGGCAGATAATACAAAAGGAGAATTCACAAAAGAAGAAAGCTGACTGAGAAGATACTTGACTTCTTTGGAAAGCAAGGGAAGAGAGCCTCAGAGAGCAACGAAATATTATATACTCATATCAGATGGGCAGAGAGAATGGCAATACTCAGCATTGCAGTGGATATAAGAAAATAAGTTCTCATAGTTCAGGTGGGAAAAGAGAGAACATTGGGGATGTGGACACACACACACACACATATTCATACCCAGCAATTCTACAATTTCTCTTCTAGATCCTTCCCCTAGACATATTCTCACATGCATTAAGGGTCTGCGTTATTCTAAGTGTGATCATTACATTGATTGTCAAGAGGCACAGAAGCCTCCCAGCTCAAAATTCTGGTAAGTTTTCTTTTTTGACACTGCAGTATTTTCAAACAAAGTGAGGATTATGTTTTCATCACAAGGAAAAGAGAATCTGAGAATTTCCCCACATCAGTGTAGTATCAACAAAATAACCTCAGAGAGTCAACAAAATACTACTTAAAATGTGTTAGATAAATCAGTTTCTAAAGATTGGTACTTATCAGTGTATTAACATGACTAAACATTATGGAGAATCTGTTAGATTGCAGTTGTATTAATATGCATTTATGGGAACAAGAGACATGAACTTTTTTTTTGAGAGAGAGAGAGAGAGAGAGAGAGAGAGAGCATGTGAGTGGGGGGAGGGGCAGAGGGAGAAGGACAGAGAGAATCTCAAGCAGATTCCGCACAGAGTGTGGAGCCCGACGTGGGGCTCAATCTCATGACCCAAACCATGACCTGAACCAAAATCAAGAGTCAGATTTTTAACCAACTGAGCCAGTCACATACTGAGACTTCTAATAATCTATTATCATATATATATATATATATATATATATATTTCCACGTGAGCTTTTAGGGTTATTAGGACATAACGGAAACAGTAGAAGCAAATCCATTAGGATATTAATGGGAGACACACAACCAAGTGCAGGACAGGTAGGTAGATGAGATGAATAATATGTAATCTAAAATACCAGGATAAAGTCAATTTGAAGATCTAACTGGCTTTATGAGGCAACTGATGATTTGGACATCATCTCATCTAGGAAGAAGAGAAGCATTCTTCTCCCCTCTGTTGACAGCATCCGTGGTCACTGTGATGCTTCTTTCTTTTCTCCCACCTGAGTAACCCAAACTTCTGACCCGTGTGGTCATTCACAGTGTGCTCCCGATCAGCACTGTGGCTGCTATTGGCCTGGGACATGTGGTGGCACATTTCCAATCCACTAGGCTCCCATCAGGGCCCTAACTGTGCCTCCCAGACTATTTTGTTGAACCAGAAGGATTTTCAACTCTATTAGGGGTAAGCTGTAATGGCTTTTGGGGAAAAAAAAAAGCCCAAGAGGCTATCTGTTCCTTAGACAACCAGAGCTGTTTTCCCTCTAACTTCCTGAAGTTTGCCCTTTCCACATATTTCTTCTTTCCACAGCTTCCTGTTGTTTTGTTGACTCTAATAAGGCACTGGCTCATGTGCAGGGAAGGAAAACTTCTCAGGACCTCTCCTCCCTTAAATAGAGGTCTCATAAGGTAGACAACATGCAAACATAACACACTCTCTTTTCCACCTGAGCCTAAGCA